ATATTCTTGCTGGATAGCTTAGGGAAGATTGTTTTGGTTCAAAGCACTTGACTTTACCAGAAATGATGCATTGGGTGGCACCTAGGGGTCTCCCTCCATCTAGTACCATCTGATATATATCTATATGACATACATAGTTCTAATGTGACCGATAACCCCTCAATTATTATTACATTAGAATTATATCATACCATTCTAGGAGTGTTTTAACTTTAGTCTGTGCTAGGTTTAAGACATTTCAGTGAGGAGTTTAATGATAGTCTATAGTAGATTTCTTTGGATATAGGGCTCTTTATAGCTTATGGTACATTAGTTATAAAGTCAGATAATGTGTAAACAAAAATTGGCAAAATTGTGTTATAATTATAAAGAAGTAGATAATGGCTTTATTTTATTAAAATAATGTTGTGGGATAAAGTAATTTTGTTACAGCTTGTTCTGGTTATGTGTTCTGGTTATGTTCCCCAAGTAATAATTGAGAAGGGGAAAGAGTGTGATACAAGAACTGATGTGTACCCTCGACCTGCTGGCAGCAACTGATATTACCCATGTTACAAGTACCGACCAACATCTGAGCCTTCTGATCATCGTCTACTCTGTTCACTATATATAGTCAGTACATATTGTGAAATTTCCCCTATTTTTCCTAAAATGATGAATAATAGTTCTGTCAAGATTAAAAGATGAAAAAGTTAAAATATTTAGTGTGGTAAGCTAGGGCTAAACTTGTGTGTAGCCATTTTAACACATTGAAATGAGTTTACATGTATAAATCCATTAAATCTGTATGCCTTTGGATCAGCCAAAATATTTCAAGAAAATAAGTATCAAGAAAAATGAACAAAGATTTTAAGAAAAGTAATAATATTTACAATTTAAGAAATTATTCAGAAGTAATGACTGTAATTTTGTTTTTGCAGTATTTATCAAGGGCTATTTTTGCATATTCTGACGTGTTTTTTGCAATTTTCGTGGGTTTAAAGTGCCCTTTGCAAGGTGTTAATTACCTTCTTTGTTCACTTGACAATTACACTTTTAAAATATCCACTAAAATTGGCATGAATCTGGAGGTATGCTGCTTCAAACAGTTTTGCGATAGAAATGCTCACATTTATTGAACAAAAGTCTTTGCTTTATTTGTGATGTACTTTTTATACCAAAATTTGTACATCAGATTTTTCCTGCTTTGAATTTTGAACTGTCCAAAATTGTTCAATGTGAGGATGTTCTTTTTATCAAAATGTTAAAGTTAGGCAAAGTCTGGTCAATCTTTTCCAATTATTGTCTTCATCACAGTATATATACTGTATTTTCCATTTTGATGAACTTTTGTTTTATGAAATTGTGAAATTTTATGTTGTATACATTTATAAAAGTAAATGACATAAATCTACAGGAATGCCACTTTATATCAGTATAGTCTCTGTTACCCTACTTCCTGCTCTGATATATAATGTAGAAGAAAAAATACTGTAATAAATGTCATAACAGATTTTCTAGTTTTCACAAGGAATGGTTTCAGTCTCCTTTGTGATAACCATTTTATACATTTTCTTATTTTGCAGTATTTATTTGAAGCAAGTAGTTGTGCTCTGTATGACCTGATAATTGGATCTGAGATCATCAGATAAGGCTAGCTTCAACCTATACACCTTCACTAAACCAATACTCTGCTGAAAAAATTAAGTTGCCCTGCTCAGTATATGTACAGTCCATGGTTTACTTTATTTTAGCTACTGCCAGTTTATTGTTTGGCCAGCCTGTATACATGTAGGTGCAGACTGGCCCTGCTCTTTACTCGGGTGACCTAAGCTTCATGGTATTACCACTAACACGCTGACCTGGCTCTATACCGGTGACCTAGGCTTCATGGTATTGCCACTAACACGCTGACCTGGCTCTATACCGGTGACCTAGGCTTCATGGTATTGCCTCTAACACGCTGACCTGGCTCTATACTGATGACCTAAGCCACTATCTAGTTGCACGCTGGGCTGGCTCTATACTAGTAACCTAAGCCACTATCTAGTTGCACGCTGGGCTGGCTCTATACTGATGATCTAGGCCACTATCTAGTTGCATGTTGGGCTGGCTCTATACTGGTAACCTAAGCCACTATCTAGTTGCATGCTGGGCTGGCTCTTTACTGATGACCTAAGCCACTATCTAGTTGCATGTTGGGCTGGCTCTATACTGGTAACCTAAGCCACTATCTAGTTGCAGGCTGGGCTGGCTCTTTACTGATGACCTAAGCCACTATCTAGTTGCATGTTGGGCTGGCTTTATACTGGTAACCTAAGCCACTATCTAGTTGCACGCTGGGCTGGCTCTTTACTGATGATCTAGACCACTATCTAGTTGCATGTTGGACTGGCTCTTTACTGATGACCTAGGCCACAATCTAGTTGCATGTTGGGCTGGCTCTATACTGGTGACCTAGGCCACTTTCTAGTTGCAGGCTGGGCTGGCTCTTTACTGATGACCTAGGCCACTATCTAGTTGCATGTTGGGCTGGCTCTTTACTGATGACCTAGGCCACTATCTAGTTGCAGGCTGGGCTGGCTCTTTACTGATGACCTAGGCCACTATCTAGTTGCACGCTGGGCTGGCTCTTTACTTATGACCTAGGCCACAATCTAGTTGCATGTTGGGCTGGCTCTATACTGATGACCTAGGCCACTATCTAGTTGCACGCTGGGCTGGCTCTATACTGGTGACCTAGGCCATTATCTAGTTGCATGTTGGGCTGGCTCTTTACTGATGACCTAGGCCACTATCTAGTTGCAGGCTAGGCTGGCTCTATACTGGTAACCTAGGCTACTATCTAGTTGCACGCTGGGCTGGCTCTTTACTGATGACCTAGGCCACCATCTAGTTGCATGTTGGGCTGGCTCTTTACTGATGACCTAGGCCACTATCTAGTTGCATGTTGGGCTGGCTCTATACTGGTAACCTAGGCCACTATCTAGTTGCACGCTGGGCTAGCTCTTTACTGATGACCTAGGTCACAATCTAGTTGCAGGCTGGGCTGGCTTTATACTGGTAACCTAGGCCACTATCTAGTTGCATGTTGGACTGGCTCTTTACTGATGACCTAGGCCACTATCTAGTTGCATGTTGGGCTTGCTCTATACTGGTAACCTAGGCCACTATCTAGTTGCATGTTGGGCTGGCTCTTTACTGATGACCTAGGCCACTATCTAGTTGCATGTTGGGCTGGCTCTATACTGGTAACCTAGGCCACTATCTAGTTGCACGCTGGGCTGGCTCTTTACTGATGACCTAGGCCACTATCTAGTTGCATGTTGGGCTGGCTCTATACTGGTGACCTAGGCCACTATCTAGTTGCAGGCTGGGCTGGCTCTTTACTGATGACCTAGGCCACAATCCAGTTGCAGACTGGGCTGGCTCTATGCTGGTAACCTAGGCCACTATCTAGTTGCATGTTGGGCTGGCTCTTTACTGATGACCTAGGCCACTATCTAGTTGCATGTTGGGCTGGCTCTATACTGGTAACCTAGGCCACTATCTAGTTGCACGCTGGGCTGGCTCTTTACTAATGACCTAGGCCACTATCTAGTTGCATGTTGGGCTGGCTCTATACTGGTGACCTAGGCCACTATCTAGTTGCAGGCTGGGCTGGCTCTCTACTGATGGCCTAGGCCACAATCTCGTTGCAGGCTGGGCATGCTCTATACTGGTGACCTAGGCCACTATCTAGTTGCACGCTGGGCTGGCTCTTTACTGATGACCTAGGCCACTATCTAGTTGCAGGCTGGGCACGCTCTATACTGGTGAACTAGGCTTGTATGTATTGCCACTAGTTATGTGCACTTTAGTCTGACTGTATTGGTGACTCAAGCTTAATGATATAGCCACAAGTTAGGTGCAGGCTGGCCTGGCAACCTGGGCTTACCATTAGCATTTAAAAGGTTAAAAATCAATTATACTTTTGTCTTACACCTGGAAATATATAGTAGTTAATATAATTTCATTTGGAAAATAAAATGCTTATTTTTAATAGGTAGATTTGTAAACTCTGTTTTAAATTGTTTACTGCACTTACTGGGCGTCCATTACAGGTTGGTTAGTGATATTAACATGTCAGTAATGTTAAGCCACTTATGGTGTTCCCATTAAAGATATTTTCTTACGTAAATGTACACATTTGCAAAACTTGAATATTGCAGTTCATACATTTATCCTGCAAGTACCAATTGATATTTAAATATCAATGCAGGATAAAACAATTACACTGCTTATTGGAGACTGGTCAATGCCTCTTTAATGTTCATTTCAGACACAAAAATCAATGGGAATTTATTAAAGTTTATATAAAATATTGCATATACATGTATAGCCATACTCCATGCACTGATTTTAACTTTAATTGGAGAATTTTTGCCCCCAATTCCCTTGTAGATAAGAAAACAATCTGTTATCATTAAGTACTATAAAGGAAACTAGGTCATGGAAACTAAACAAGGTAATTATTAGCTGCAATAGTTAATTTAATATTGAATTTCCCCATTTATATTGTCTTGAAGCTTTTGTAGTAGTTATATTTATCCATGTCATATCAGATATGGATTGATTAAACTTGCTTGCAACAATTTTGATATACAGTATATTACTTCACTAATGCTAAGCATTTGTTTATGTTATAGTTTAAATATTGTGAATGTATTGTACTGGGAGTAAGCTATATTTTAATTTGTTACACATGGTAGTTTATTTGTACTAATGTCCTTTACGGATTATTTTCAAAGTTTGCTTGATACTTATTGTTGTTTCGTATATACAACACTTTCTCACAGTATGTTCAGTGTGAAGTTTTGTACCTAACCTAATAGTGTTAATATGTAAATATCCTTGCAGTTATTTTTTTTTCACCAACGAAAATTTAATAGAATACTCTATCTCTATTATAAACATGTACAACATAAATATATATGTATGAAATAAACTACGTCTACTAAATAAAAACGAAAAACACTGTATTCAGTCTTTATGCCTTTTATTTATTTTGAACTAAAGTTTTAAAAGTAGAGACCTGTCTTTTTGCTCCAAAAAAAAGAAAGTAAAAAAAGAAAGTTTAATGTCCAGGTAAAAACATGTATACAGGTCATGATGACGCTGAAGTTTGTGACGTCATGTTTACTGGAGTTCCTTGTCGTAGTGCCACTCGCCATGGCCGGAACCAATACGCTTGAGGTTGGTGATGCGGTCACTGAGTTCCTTGATGGCGTTCACCTGTTCCTCCAAGTACTCGGACTCCAGGAAGTCGCACATCTAAAAATAGATACATACATGTATTACTATCATGAAAATAATTATTATAAGTAATAAAATAATTGATATCAGGCACATTTTGTCACTAGTCCTATGATTAAGATATAAGGTAAAAATAAAATCGCCATGATCAAGAGCATCAATGAGCATCGCAAAATCAACTAAACATATAAAGTGTGCAAAATATTCACCAAAACGCACCTCCGAACATTCAGAGCAAAATAATAAACAAGGATAGACCCTCTTTGAATTAAAAGGCACTACGTTCCTGCCGGCGAGTTTTACAATAATAAATGAGGTTACTCTAAAGTAATTATAGAACAGAGTTTAGCTTCCACACGTCCAAAGTTAATCATAAAATATATTAACTTCCATTGTGGCAATTAATTGTAGTGAAAAAAATTAAGTCAGCCTATCATATAACTTTATCAATTAATTTATGCATGCTGTTCACATAAAATTTAATTTGACGTACCTGTGCATCGCCGTGGCTATCGGCGACCTTGTGAAGGTCCAGAAGGGCCTGGTTGACACTCTTCTCTAAAGCAAGAGCTGCTTCCATAGCCTCAAGACCAGTGCCCCATTCGTCACGCTCTGGCTTCTAAAATTACAATTTGTTTACATGAGAAAGCATGGAAATTATGTCTAGATTTACATCACCAACGCACGACTTTCAAACAGTGTATTTCATTGAATCCTTAAATTCGTCAATTTTACGTAGATCTATAGTTAATCAATTATAAAATTAATGCCAGTGCATAAATGCATCAACAGAGACCAAAATATTAATTATACTCAATGAAGACATGAAAAAAGACACTAACGGTGATGGCCTGAAGGACAACGCGACCGCCTCTCTTGTTCTGATACTTCATCAGTTTCTCCGCGTGCTCACGCTCCTCATCAGACGACTCCTTGAAGAACTTGCTGAATCCTTTCAACGCTACATCGTCACGGTCGAAGTAGTACGCCTGCAAAGTTCAAAGAGTCATTAGGTCATTCACCAAAATTACAAATTTAGTAGTGTCAAACCTGAATCAACATTAAAGTAGATAAATAAACTGTCACATGTTACTTCCGGTCACTGTCCCTTTCTTGTAAGCCTATGTATTTTAACTTGAACCTGTCTTGCGATTACAGGAAGAGGACTTGTTTATTATTGTGAACATACAGTAATGGCCAGAGTTGCACGGACAACTTTTACCACTAATCGGAATATTATTTCAATTCAGAATTGTTCATTACACATTGACTAATGCCTTGAAAATTTTATTTTAAATGAGTATAGCTAGGCATTCGTCTTGTTTAAAATTAACCTTTCAATGGCTATCATGTTTAATTATCAATCATTAATTTTTATCAGTACTTAATCACCCAGGTTATCCTGACATTGAGACAGCCAAGTCAATGGATTCAAATTTATCAGGAGCGACCGGAAATATAATAGATATGTCCTTAACGTAGATTAAATTAATGCGGTTTTAGTGCGATTACATCACTAATGTTCTAGAACATTTAATGATTTTATCTTTCGTAACAAATGAAATCTCAAATCTACATGATATGTGCTTCTTTCCTTAAGCCTTTCATTGTCTCATTATTACCAATGTCTGAATGGATATGGAAGGCAACAAAACACAGGTTCAAGACAGCGGATTTTAAATATAATAGTCATGTTCAAGGACTTAAAAGAACGTTAATTGTTATTTAACTCAATAATATAGTGCACGAATAACTAAAAATAACAGCTTTAAGGTCAAATCAATGTGACCGACAGCCTAGGCCTTCAGGATACTAGATTTACGCTGTATCAAAAACAATGTAGAAAGAAAAATAAAAAACAACAAAAAACTATACAGTATTACACAAAATTATGTCTATTAAACAGATAAAAACATGAAAAAGTGTAGATCTATTATTAATTATATAGTATTAAGCTAGAACAGCTTGTAAAATACCTGGCTATTCTATTTAGTAGTCTACACATACAGTACAGTATGCTTCCTAAAATAACCCGAACTTATGTCAATACGCAGTAGTTTCGGTGAAGGTCACGGAATCCATGCAAGATCAATGTAATTATATCTCAAGTTCTCAAGTTCATAATGCAGACAGTCTACAGTAGATGTTTTGAAAGAATATCAATCCCGATCATCAGTTGAAATTTATAGTCCCTCTCAAACTGTACTGTACAGTAATATACATGTTATTTATAAACGTGTAAACATAGAAACCGAACTTACCATTGACATGTAGCAGTAGCTAGCATACAGCTCCATGTTGATCTGTTTGTTTATTCCAGCTTCGCTATCCTGGTGGAAATTCTGGCGAGGTCGAGAAACTGACATCTTCGATTTCTAGGCTTTAGACCGTAAGGTGGTAAATTTTAAAATAAAAAACTTGTTTAAAGTTTTAAAGATCTTAAGTTGATATTTGCCCGTACGTTCACTGACGCAGCAAGACAAATGATCATGTATGAGTTTACACAGCTAGCTCGGCGTATTTATAGTGTATTGATATCACGTGGTATACTACAAGGCCTATTGATTTACAATATAGTGTAACATGGCGTACAATAACATGTGTTACAAAACGTGACGCAGTTCAGTTACACACCAACGATTCTTATGAAATAACCATTAAATGAAATGGCTGTTGTTTTTTTGTACTGGATTATAACCTGTTGTTGGGACAGTATTATGTACATGTATAATTTTAGCTAACCAGTGAACTTCACGGTTTCATCCGTCAAATAAAACCTCCATCCGTTAAAAAAAAAACCCATAAAAGCGATCAGTGCATGTTTAATTAGATCTAGATCTACTGAATATTTGGTAGAATTAGATCTACAATTTGGTAGTTTAATGAATTTTAGATATTTTTGAATTTCATTAATTTGAAGGCTATTTTTTTTTGTGTTTATATTTTTTCCGTTTCTTCGCTTTTTGTAGCTTTTTTCGCGCCTTTCATGATCCACACGTGCAGTAGTGACATTATGCCCATCCAAAGGCATATAGTGAGTGAATGGGTGAAAGTCAAAAAAGGTTTCATTTTGCCACGATTTCTTTCAATTTCATAATTAAAGTTCCCAAAAACAATGAATAACTCACAGATCCACACAAAATTTCTGTAAATATCCATAAGAATTTACCTATATAATGCTTAGTTTATAAAAAGAGTGGGGCAGTCTTTTCAAATTTCAGACAGATTTATAATTTTACCCTAAACATTTTCCAATATCAACTATTGCATGTATTGGTCAATCACCATTTTGACAGTCAATCTTTTGAAATATGACGTTAATTCAGCTCAACTTGACCATGAAAATATGAGCATAATGTCGTCACAGTTTTTGTTTGACATTAATAAGACACTTCTTCTGAAAACTTTCACCCTTTATTAATGTTGTGTTTCTTGTTGTTTTTTTGTTTTGTCTAAATTCTTGTTGTTTTGCTAGTAACTTTTCTACTTGTTTATTAGATCTACTTGAGTTGTATGGAAAAGCTCAATATATATAGCTTAATTTGCGTCTTTTGTAATTTGATTTTTTAACAGCATCGACTCGTCTGTTTTGATTCCGTATTTAATAAGTTGCTGAGCTATGGAAAGTCAATTATTGCTATGGAAGTCACAGTTTTCTGCTTTTTTAGATTTTACTGGTTGAAATGAGTCATTGGTTGCTATAGAAAGTCCATGTTGCTATGCAAGCCAGTGGTTGATACTGAAAGCCAGCGGTTGCAATAGAAGGCAATGTTGCTACAAAAAGTCATTTATTGCTATGGAAATCACTGGTTACTAAGGAAAGTCGATTAATGCTACCAAATTCACTGGTTGTAAAGTCATATTTGCTATGAAAGTCAGTGGTTACTAGGTTATTGGTTGCTATATTAAAAAGGTTAGTGATTTATTTATCTGAAATGTTGCCTGTACCTGAAGTATGTTTGTTGCCTGTATCTGTAGTGTCTTTGCTGCTGTATATGTACATAGTGAGTTTGTTGCCTTTATCTGTAGTGTGTTTGTTGCCTCTATCTGTAGTGTCTTTGCTGCCTGTACTGTAGTATATTTGTTGCTGTATATGTAGTGAGTTTGTTGCTTTTGTCTGTAGTTTGTTTGTTGCATGTATCTGTAGTGTGTTTGTTGCTTTTATCTGTAGTGTGTTTGCTGCCTGTATCTATAGTGTGTTTGTTGCCTGTACCTGTTGGTTGTCTGTTGCTGTATATGTAGTGTGTTTGTTGCCTGTACCTGTAGTATGTTGGTTGCTGTATATGTAGTGTGTTTGTTGCCTTTATCTGTAGTGTTTGTTGTCTGTATATGTAATGTGTGTGTTGCCTTATTTGTAGGGTGTTTGCTGCCTGTATCTGAAGTTTGTTTGTTGCCTGCACCTGCAGTATGTTTGTTGCTGTACATGTAGTGTGTTTTTGCCTTAATCTGTAGTGTGTTTGTTGCCTTATCTATAGTGTGTTTGTTGCCTGTACTTGTAGTATGTTTGCTGCCTGTATTTGTAGGGTGTTTGCTGCCTGTACCTGTAGTATGTTTGTTGCCTGTATCTGTAGTAATTGCATGTTTGTTGCCTTTATTTGTAATATGTTTGCTGCCTGTATCTGTAGTGTGTTTGTTACCTGTATTTGCAATAGGTTTGCTGCTTGTACCTGAAGTGTGTTTGTTGCCTGTATTTAAGTGTGTTTGTTGCCTGTATTTGTAGTGTGTTTTCTGCCAGTATCTGTAGTGTGTTTGTTGCCTGTATTTGTAATATGTCTGTTGCCTGTATCTGTAGTATGTTTGCTGCCTGTCTTTATAGGGTGTTTGCTGTCTGTTTTGTAGTATGTTTGTTGCCTGTATCTGTAGTATGTTTGTTGCCTGTATTTGTAATATTTTGCTGCTTGTACCTGAAGTGTGTCTGTTGCCTGTATTTGCAATATGTTTGCTGACTGTTCCTGATATGTAGTATGTTTGATGCCTGTATCTGTAGTGTGTTTGGTGTCTGTATTTTTTGTTGCTGTATATGTTGTTTGTTGCTGTATATGTAGTGTGTTTGTTGCCTTAATCTGTAGTGTGTTTGGTGTCTGTATTTTTTGTTGCTGTATATGTTGTTTGTTGCTGTATATGTAGTGTGTTTGTTGTCTTAATCTGTAGTGTGTTTGGTGTCTGTATTTTTTGTTGCTGTATATGTTGTTTGTTGCTGTATATGTAGTGTGTTTGTTGCCTTAATCTGTAGTGTGTTTGGTGTCTGTATTTTTTGTTGCTGTATATGTTGTTTGTTGCTGTATATGTAGTGTGTTTGTTGCCTTAATCTGTAGTGTGTTTGGTGTCTGTATTTTTCTGTGTCTGTTACCACACAGTCTCATTTCTTAAATGTTTGTATTTGTTGCATCTCTAACATGTTTATTGCTGGACTTAGTTTCTTATTCTTCTCTCATGATTTAAACTAATCAAAGTGCTGCAGCACTGAATGCGACGGACATGCAACCGGAGAGACATATTAAGGCTTCTTTTAGAAAAAAAACAAAAAACAAAAAAAAACAACACAAAATATATAACAGAGAAAATTTGTTCAACAAGTTCGAGATTTGTAGAGCAATATATTTTGTGTCCCAAATTGATATAATTCAGATTTTCTACTTTCAAGCACTTAAATACAGAATGAAATTTATGCCTAAAAACTCTGGTCAAACTTGTAAATCAGTGTCTTTATCGATTTATTCTAAGAAATGATATGTAAATAGAAAAAAAAACGAAATATTTCTAGAATAAATCCAGGCAAATAAACTTCAAACATAATACATTATACATTTGAGAATGCTATTTAGAATTGCTTCGTGTTATATCATAGTGGGCATACAGACAATAAAATATAAGTCATTTGTATTTTTATTTCTCTTGGATATGTCTCATTAAAAAAAAATTGGTTAAAATCATCAGCAATTAATAGTGTATTTCTTAGATTTTTTTTATTTACAAGGTAAAGATGTAGAGGCCAGAGCACATCGTTTTTATTTTAATTTAAATGTCACTTAAGCACTACAGTGTTTAGTTGTCCTTTTCAACTTCACACTAAATTCCATTTTCAACTTGTTTGCTTCTTACAATTGTATAGCATTTCTAAAAGTATTGCATTACAATCCGCTGGTTTATTAATTACATGTTTAATGTGTACTTCCTAATCGCCTGTCCAAAAATCAGAACAGGTGATGCAGAATCTATTTTTAGAATAGCGAAGGTTAACTCAAATCGTGACCTAGTTAAATATGTAAACAAACCACAAGAATCGGAAGTAGAACTGATATTATAACTTCCTTACCATGAAAGACTACATGGCGGTAAAGTGTCTTACATGCATTTTCAAAAATAGATATTTATACTAGCCATTGTACTGTATCTAATATATTAATAACTGCTGAATATTCAGCTAAACCCGCGGTATGAGTCACGAAAATAGTTCTTCTTTTATTAATGCGCGAGGTATCCTAGAGTCTCGAAAAACTTTTGATTTATTAATAATAATGTTTTGTATAATGTAGAAATATTTATTTCCTACTAATAATGTCTTGGAACTCAGAGGTTACACCTTTATTGTAGTATAATTTGCTGTCCTACTTTTTCGACAGCGGTAAATCGTTTCAGCAGTAATTTGCATATTGCGCAATAATACTACGGGACTACAACGTTTTTATCAATAATATACGTTCATATTTTAACTTGGATAACTTAATTTGAAATTGAAAAGGCTAAATATGGAAGACATTAAGATATCCAGACAAAGTATGGGAGTTTTGAAGGATCAAATTCATGTACTATTTCTTGGGCTGTTAATTGGTTTAGGACACATTGCGCGAGTGTAGCCAACGAAATCCCATGTGTAGATGACTTAGCTCTGAACGCGCCTGAGGGCGCGTCCGTCGCAAAAAGCTATCAAGAACATGTTACAACTAGTCCATTATATACATGTAGTATGTCCTATTTAAACAGAAAACAACTCAGACTCTGGTCAAATAAATACTTATTATCAATATATTATCAGTGATGCAAGATATAACAGTATTAAATAGGTTAGGTCACAATAACTTGGACAAATATCTCAACTAGATACAACTAATTTATTAGCTACAGTTGTTTTGAGGGGCTTGTTGTAAATTGTTTGTACCTTATTATCAATAGAACCATTTTGTATCTGACTCTTATGTTGTTATCATCAAGTGTTGGTGTTTTTCTGGGACATAAGATAGAACATGTGATGATGACTTTATATCTTCTTATATATAGGTTATTACGTGGTAACTGGATATGGTGATGTATTTAGAATACATGTTACAGTCTAATATCACACCAGGGACAAAGTCTACAATAAACCAACTGAAGCGCCATTTTGAAGTGTGTGCTGGACATTTCTGCCCATCTGTATGTTATTTCTAAATGAAGTATGACCAGGTCAATTTTTAGAAAGACTAATTTGTCGTGGTGAGCATAATGCAATCTTTACAGCACTGGTTCAAAGAAAACAATTTAGCTCTCTCAAAGGAAACTAAATGTTGAATACTTATAACATTTCTCTATTATACTGTGCATTTGTAGCATCACTTTTCATTGGATAATCAAGGTGTGGTGTTTATACTATATACACAGCTTTTGTAAATTTGTGATTTCTTTTTTCTCCAATTACATTTGTCTAGCAACTTGTGTTATATATGCAACCAGCAATTTATATTATTACTTATAAAGACTGCTGACAGATTACTTTGCCTTACATAAACATGTACATTTGTATTTGCATATTTAACCCAAGCAGATGAGGGTTATATTACAAACACAAATGTAACAGTTTATAAACAGCATTATTTTACAGCCATCAACAATTTTTATAATACAGCAAATGTCATTTCTTAAAGGCAAAATGAAAATTAATCAGTAAGTTGACAACAGCCGTGTACAATTATACAAATGTCCCGATCATCCAATAAATGAGTGATGTTATAAAAATGCAGTATTATAAAGGATCATACAGTGCCCTCCAAAAGTCCTTTGACATACTTAAAATTTATCATTCACTGGCAAAATTTGTTTCATCTGTCAATAGTTTATACAATATTTGGTTCTGTTCATGGGTAGAATAAAGGGGGTAATTCAAAAAAGCATTTAATAAAAATTCAGCAATATGAGTGCTTTAATAAATGAGATATTTAATATTTAACTTTCTCTAATAAAGATATGAAGTTTCAATTAATAAAATTAAAATTCTCCTAAGAAAGGTTTCCACCATGTTTTGCATCAAAAGTGTGTTTTATATTGAAAATATGAAAACTGTAAGTCATGTCTACTACACTTTGAAACGGTACGAGGCCACTGGTTCCCACAAAGATCATGCTAGGACAGGGAGGCCAAAAGTTTCAGACAAAAGAGATGACCGACTATTAGTGCGAGCTTCACTGCAAAACAGGAAAGCAACAGTGAATGAGCTGCGACGAGATTGGCAAACCTCAAATGTGTTTGCTTCTGCAACAACAGTGAGACGTCGTCTACATGAGGCAGGACTTTATGGTCATTTGGCTGTAAAGAAGCCTTTGCTTTCACCAAGACACAGGCAACTCCGTTTGAACTTTGCCAGAGAGCATGCTGATTGGTCTTGGGTTGATTGGTCGACTGTGATGTTCTCAGATGAGTCTAAATTTAATAATTTATTCCAAAGTGATGGGCGTGTTTATGTTCGCAGACGTTCAGGTGAACAATTAAGAGATGACTGTGTTACCAAACTGTCAAATTTGTGGGTGGTAGTGTGATGGTGTGGGGAGCAATGAGTTATAGGGGCACAAGGTTTCTGTCTCGTGTTGATGGCCGACTTAATTCACAAGGATACATCAAGATTCTTTAGGACTGTGCTATACCTTCGGCGCATTTGTTGGGGTATGGTAACAACTTCATCTTCCAGGATGATGGTGCTACCTGCCATAGAGCTAGCATTGTTGAACAGTGGAAAGATGAGAATAAATTTAAGTGTTTAAAATGGCCTCCTCAGTCACCTGATCTTAACCACATTGAAAATTTGTGGCAGATTGTGAAAATTAAACTCAGAAATAAACACAGCCATAATCTCCGTGAGCTGGAACAAAATGTTAAAACTGTTTGGGAATCAGTACGTCCTGAATCATGTGAAAGACTTGTAAGAAGCATATCACGAAGGATTCAAGCTGTAGTAAGGGCCAGAGGTCACACAAAGTACTGAAGTAGATCACTACTTTCATAATTTGCATCACGTTGATGTTCACTGTTTTCAAATTTACTTGTTGTTTATGTGTTATACTGAGATGTAAAATGTTTTTTCTGATTAAACAAAACTAAATAAATACTTTTACTAAATTGATCATCATTTCACTTTTGATTTATGTTTTACATTACTTTAATTGTGTAAACAACACCAAAATTAGTTTGTCCAAGGACTTTTGGAGGGCACTGTATAACACATCAAAAATCTTGTTTTCTTTTTATAACATTAAATAGTAATAATCAATATAAATATTAATAATTACATCACATTATGTAAAACCCGAGCTAGAGATCACCTCTACATAAAGACTATACAGATTAAGTGTTCATATCGGAAGGTTGACCATATTTAGGTGACAAGTAACCTAAAAGATTTCTGAAAATCAGCGTCGTTCTTTTTCTGCTCACTATGAGCAACTTTACTTAAGATCAAATAATAACAGCAATAAAGAGACATAGTAATAAAGAACAAGAACTACAATATTAAAGCCATTTCTATTATGGTTATAAGATTCTTTATAAATAAATGCTTTAAATCAGGTTCAAAAAATTGTAATTGACCAAGCAAAATAAATATTCAACATATCATCAAATTTACTCATTATTAATTTGTATTGATTCACAATTTGATAAAAATTAACTTGTTTTGGCCTATCACCAATTAACATGTTTAAGCCTATCATAGCACTAGTACCCCTGCAATTTAGAAAGTAAGTCTATTTTATTTATCTGATCATAGACATACAGCATATAGTGTTTCAGAATGAAGATCTAGAAGATTCTTAACATTCTGTTCCAGAACCTCCTCTTTCTGACCGGGCTTTCTATACAATTTTACTTGTCTGCCATTAGTTCCAGCTAAAACCTGCACCTGAAAATAAATATAAGAACACACAATATATTTACTGACATTCTCAACGAACATTATTTTACCTTTATTGCCAGAAAAAATGGATTATATGTATTATATCTGAATTGGTAAGGTTGTAGTCAGTTTTGGAAAGTACATACAGACCTGTGAAGGAATTCAAACCTTCAATATTGTTGCCCAAAAACTGAAGTCACTGTAATGTGGTCGTAATTGAGTTTAACCATTCTGCTGGATAAAACTGTTTTAAGTTAGATTGTGTTAGTTGGTGACAAAAATAACCAAGGCTAGGCTAAAATAATGTTGGTCAGTAAGTGAATATTTTTATAACTTAAAAATATGCCTGCACACAAAATTTTACTTTCATTGGGATCCAAAATACTGGCTTTTTTGTTTTACTTTTATTACAGATTTTATAAAGGACTAATCACTTAGTCCCAACTAGAATTTAATTCTTGTACAGAAATTATTTCTAATCATTGTCATTTATTACTCTGCTACATTTTCATATACCAGACACAATTATTAAGAGCTCTAAACACAAAATTGGTGAAAAAGTACAGTATAACATTGGTCTTGTTAGTTTTTTTTCTTTGATTTTAAACCTTACCATGCTAAATATTTTAAATAGTCTGGTCCCATCTTTCAAAAACTGTACATAACCTTTCATCATTTTAAGAAAAAAATTCAAAATATGTACAAACTGAACTGCAACAGTGCGGACCATTATCAGACAGCACATCTGTACCAGCTGATCTTGGTCTGCACTGTTCCTACTGGTAGAATCTGTTACCTCTAGCAGGCTAATGATTAATGAATTTTGTTTACCTGAGATTGTAATTGTGACATGGTACAGGTGTCACCTCTAGGATTCTCTAGAAGTAATGTTCCTCTACAATTCTTCCCACCTGCATCTGTATACTCTATATTGGTGAAATGACAGACCGGGGAGCTTAGACTGCTGACAGGCTGCTTTCCACACTGCTCACCAGTGCATGCAACTACATACAAAGTTTTAGTGTTTAAATTGCTGATATTTCCAGATGATGACAATGGTGTCTGAATATTAGCATCTGAATACACTTCCACTTTCCTTCCCCTAACACCAAACACAGACTGAACCTGTAAAAGATATATCAATTTCACATCTTATATATACATATTATTTTTGTTACAAGTCCGTGTATGTAATGTATTCAGGAAAGAAATTATTAAAACAAACCATTATATTTTTTTTACCACAATCCACTATAAAATATGTACTTCATTAGAATTTTGAAGTGTGACCTTTAATTACTAACCTGTTCTTTCAATGAATTAGAAGACAAGGCAAACTGACCCTGAGGGTTTTCTAACAAAACTGTTGCCTGGTTTGAGCCTTCCCGACCCTCATGACTGCTCATTCCACACAGCTGTACGTTGACAAATTTGCAGTGAGGTTTCACGCCATTTTTAACAGGGGCTGGTGGCAAGGCTTGTACTACTGGAGCCGGTGATGAAGTTGAGCCAGCACCACTAGCACCCCTCCGAACAATAGCCATCTCCAATTTGTTGTCTTTAACCTTCAATATACAATGAATTAAAATCTATGACTACCTGTGTAAGTTATAATGGAAATTATAAGTTTAGTTTTGTTTACAGTATATAAACTAAAAAATCATGGAGTATTTAATGTAACAAAAGAAAGAACAATAATTTCCACTGTTAACTCCATGTTCTTTAAATGAAACAGTGCTGTAATTTTGGTTTCCTCTTCGAAAAAAGTATATCTACTTATATACTAAACAATTACATTGAAAATCTAGCATGAGTGAAATTCATGGTCATAGAAAAAAGTTTTTTTTTTTTATTACAGTCTATAACCAGATTTCTTTGGAAAGTTAGAGTGTAAGTCATTACAGTAAAAGTTACCTTGTAGTCTTTCTTTTTAGGATCTGACACAATAATAGGTTTCTGGCCTGCTGGTACAGGATAAGGTACTAGAGGTTGTTTGATGGTAGAGAAGATAAAGTCAGAGAACTCTGTGATAACTTTGCCAAGTTCTGGAGTTGTATCGTAATAAACTGTGATGTCATCTGTGGGCATTAAACTGGCCTGAAAGGATCATTACATTAACAAAGACACATGTCAAGGAATTATAATTAAATACTAATATATACCCTCAGATAAGATCACAAGGTGCAATTTTTACTTTAGTACATGTAAAAAAAAATCATGACCATCTTTATACAAAACCTCAAGTATGAGTGACAGTAAAAAACAATTATAAGCTTGGTGCCTGGCTTCCTCAAATTAACAATGAAGAATTAATCAGGCAAGAACAATTAACTTTAACTGAATTTAAAGCACTTCCACAAACATTGACCTAAGCTTCTTTTTTCTCACAGAATTTTGTTCATGTAGGATAAGTGTGAGAGTTAACAAATTTATGTTTTGGTAAGTTTGATAAACTGAGCAAAGATATGATGGCATGAGGTAATAAATAGTAGAGACAAGACTTTATGTAAAACAGCTATAATGGAGAAATTGGAATAAGAGCCCCTAAGCCACAGAATCAAAATGACGATTACTAATCTATCAAACAATATAAAGTGACATACATCTTTCCTCAGCTTTTGAATACGGTTAACAACGTCTCTTGCTAGACCCTCATCTAACATGGACTTGTCTGGTGTCACTTCAAGCAGAACCAACACCTATAATATAACAACAGATTATGCAATAATCATTTAGTAATTTACATCATTTTTCTGTAGTTGTTTGTTTTGATTATAATTAACATTAACTCTGTGAAGCTTACAAGACAAATTGTTTACATCTATACAACCTTTGGTTCCCTTCATGCAATATGAGACTTTATAAGTAAAGCAATAAGTTTTCTCTTAATTAATTAAATACCCTCCATGAATAGCTTCCTTACATTTCAGAAATGTAAGTCCCTTACATACTTCTAATAGCCAAGAGGTGAAAGGCAAATGATCTGAACTCAAAAAACTTAATTGCTTATTGTTTGCTTGTTTGTTTCATTTTACGCCTTTTCCCCCGACAGTATTTTAGTCATATAGGCAGGTAGTTTCCTAACCAACGTTCCTGGAGAGTTACACCAGTACTAGACTACCTTCCTCCGTGCTAAACTACCATAGCATCTCCCGGGGATCGAACCCACCCAAGAGAGGTAACTGGATTAGAAGTCGTCAGCTCTAACCCCTCGACCACAGAGGTGGTATATAAATGCAGAGCAAGTTAGACCTCTAAAACATACACACAGATGTAAGCTTATAACATACAATACCATTTCTTATATCTTTGTAACATTGTAAGGTATTTGTATGGATTGTGTATGGAGTATGAAACTCATAACATCTTTTACATCAAACCTTTCTTCTATAACAGAATGTAATAAAGTATTTAATCTTTTATCTACACATAAACCCTTACCCTGCTGGAACCAAAAGTAACTATCATTTACTCCCAGTATAGGGTCAGGCCAGTCTGCATATGTGTGCAGTCTGACCAAGCTCTATACTATTGGCTGATCAACTTTAAATTTTCTTAAAAATAGGAAACATACATGTATAATAAATTATACAACTTCAGCAGATAAAGTGTTGATATTTTAATCCATTATTTCATATACCCGCCATTTCACGTCGTATATAGGTGAACGATGTAAACACCTTTTCTCGCCGATGTAGGAAGTTATAAGCATTATGTATAATGCTCTCAGTATGCTATAATCATAATAAAAGATCAACAGTATTAGGCAATCATACATGTGGGTAGGCATGAGCATCGTATGTTGATGATCCCTTGGCTCCATCAAACTGGTACATAAGTCGAAGATCTCCCTCCACCAGTTTATTCCCGAGCACATCAATCTCTCCTGTCTGCTGGAAGTCCATCAGCTGTGCATCTGTTAACTCCTGAATGGCTTTAGTCACCTGATATATATAAATCATGTATTACTACACACATTCTGAAACGTAGTCACACACGAGATATTTACACAATTTTGTAAACTTTAACAAGTCATTAAGTAAGTAAAATATACTAAATTTTAAAATAACCAAACTAGCACAATTCTTATATGCAGTGAATTCTGTTAAAATGTTGATATCTTTTATAAAAAATGTTACAATAGAATGAGAGGCATTATGGATCAATATATTAATCATATATGATGTAGAATCATGTTATACCGCATGTAAGTTTTTTCATATCTTTGTTAAAACAATATACTGTGATGTCATAATTAATGTCTCATATATGTTGCTCTAGTATGAAAGCAACTTATTTTCTAATAAAATTTATGGCCATCAATTTGTTAACAATATTGTTAAGTCAATTGTAAATATTTTTCACAAGAAACTTTTTAAAACTGAAAATATTTCATCATCTTAAGATCAATCTGAACTAGAAATTTTAATCTGCACATACTGCTTTAAATTGTTGTTTCAATTTGGCTCCCAGCACTCTATGGTCTGGTTCAGCATGAAGCCGGGCACCATATTTCTCCTTGTCTGTAGTAGTGGTTAGTTTCTTTACATTTAATTCCTGGAGGAAACAAAAACCAATCAAGTCAAGTCAGGTAATATTTATCTTATACTGTGAGGTATAACAACATAAGACAACAAAACCACCGAGCTGACTAATAAACTACATAACATGGTAACAAAAAATGCATATTTTAACAGATTAACCCACTCAGTTTTTATAATGTAATGTAAACTACTGATACAAATTAAAGCAAAACATGACTTTTCAAAAAGAAATTTTGTTTTGAAATCCATAGTTGCTGAGTTCTATTCAATTCTGATGAAGTGTTTAATAGAACTTTGTCTATGGGCCAACTTGCTTTGAGATAAGGGGGCATTCTATAAAATTCTGGATCAGACATAGATAGTGTAACAAATATGCTGTAGTCAACTTTTAATACTAGTTATGTTATCATGATAAACACCTTTGAATACTTGACTGAATTGTCTAATTTACCAATTACATTTCATGACCAATTCAGAGATATGTAATTCCTTTTGTCTGCATATATTTACACATAGAATGAATATGCAACAGGATGAGCAGAAAAAGTTAGATCAACTTGGTTTCAACCTACCCATATGCTGGGTTCTGCCAGATAAAACTGAGTTTCAGATAACTGCTATTAAGGTAATTATCTGTACCAGATCAATACTTACCTCAAGTATATAAGATTCCAGTGACTGGATATCCTTCAACACATCTTGATCACCAGCGATGGCAACTACTTCTTTTAAAGGATACTGTAAATTAAATAATTCAAGCCACATAATAAAAATATTTGAAAATATTCAAAAATTCCATATTTAAATCCTATAATCAATGAAGATTTCAAGTCCATTTTTCTTTTACATGTATTATATGCATTAACTGATGGAGAAACATTAAAATTGATGTGATTATCTTAGAGCTAAAGAACAGGTTCTTAAAAGGCTGCAACTACTCATTAATATAAACCCAAATAAACCTAAATATAATATTCTTTACTTGGGGAGTCAAATAACAATCATTTAAATCTTTCTCTTAGACTAATGAACACAAATCCATACGGACCAAATTTACATCTTCAGATTTTTAAGACTGAAATATTACATCCATTTATAGGGAATCTGTTTACCAGCTGTAAAATATCATGAACATTTTAAAAGGCCAGTGAAGCTTTTTGCATATTACATAGAATTAAAATAAAAAAATCTCAAATTCATGTAACTAAATGGAAAGAGGCAATCAAGATGTAGTGATATAATGATAAATGATATTTACCCGGATAGGTAATGTATTCCTTTCTCTGACAAGACGTCCAAGTTCTATCACTGACTGCATGCTGGCAACAGCTGACTCAATGTGCGTGTCAATCAAATCCTCCCTGATAAATTATAATATATAAAACATTGTTCATAAACATAGTGATCTAGTATATCAATAAACATTTAACCTTTGTACAGCCAGAACTGTCAGACCTCGCCTCATATGACGTCATTCACGGGAACAGATTTGAATAGAGTCATGTACTTATTTAGAACATTTTGTTGACATAATTTCGATATTTTTATTCAAGATAATGTTTTTATTTATTTTCATTAATTTTCTAGTACTTTAATATGATTTTATTGAATATAAAAGTCAGTAAATCACCTTTTTCAATATCTTTAAAAAAAAGTATTTTATAAAAATATTGGCGGCACATGGGTTCATAAAGGTCATTCTCGTAATCACGTGGTCAAACATTTTGGCAATATGGCGGGCAAGTGCCGAAATTTTTACCTGTCGGAAACTATTAGGTAGTTTATGTTCGTAATAAGATTTTTATTTGTCCATCCTTGGCTTATCAACAGATTATATATAGAGTTTTATCAAGGTATGCTTCACTTTACTTCATGGCATGTTCGATGAATAAATACGAGCGTGCCAGATTCCTGGCACGATTATTGGTAGACTTTCCCTACGGGGTTATCTTCAGCGTTCACGTCATGTCATAGTATATAAACGGGTACGCTGAAGACCTTTAGCTAACTGTAGGTCTGCTTTTATCTAGATGGTACAGACCTGCTCAATATGCTAAATATGTTGATGAACAGAAATGAAACTTCCATTACATACTTCCATTACATAGTGTATTTGGTGTTAGAAATGTTCAAAGATTAGAATTGATACAGATAAATGTTATGTTTTATTTAAAAGCTTCCAGATACTTGCTTTACCTCCTCACAGTTCTAAGTAGATGTTGTTACTTTTTTTGTAAATGACTGACTGATGTCCAGAACAAAGATAAATAAGAATTTTTACATGAAATAATAAGATAATGTACCTAGGTTCTGGGATCATCATGAAGTGCACACTTCGAGTGTCCTGTCCTTTCATTGCTTCTGGGTCTAGTAGATGCTTTAAATTTTGGTACATTAATTCAGTGATGTATGGTATCATAGGTGCCTAGAAATAATAATTTCAAAATGCAAATATCTGATAGAAAACAAGTTACCTAAGAAGTAAACACAATTAAAAGTTTCACATGAAAATGTCTTTACTCTTAAAAGTAATATTCAGTTCACAAAAGAGAATATATACTGCTTTAACACTTGTATTCTGTGTTTGGTCAATCTTCCTGTTACGTAGTCAATTACATGTTCAATCTTATTTCATTCTATATGAATACTTATCCCTTGTTCTCCTTAGTAATAGTAATAAGTCAATTTCTCAAAAGTAGATTTTAACTAATACTGGCAAGTTTTTTAAGTCTTGAAATGACTTTTCCAGTTTGACACAACAATATAATTGGCAGCAAGGCAGAATCATCTGTTTGATAAGTGAATAACTTCCTAACATGGCAGAATTTATATTGTGATTAGGATTAAAACACATTGACGAGGGACAAGAACTTCTACAAAAAGTTGCTTTAACCAATACTCAACCTGAGTTATTTAATACTGATATCATAATTATTAGACTAACATTTAGTAAGTGTTATACAACTACTCACCATAACTTTAGACATAGAGAAGAGTACAGCAAACAATGTTGTGAGGGCATCAAGACAGTCACTAGCTCCACCATCTCCCTTTAGTCTCTTCCTGTTCATCTTTACATACCAGTTGGTCAGTTCATCAACAAATTTTACCAACCGTGGCATTACTGTGTATAGTCTATACGCTGTAATATAAAATAGTGAGGTATAGACTTTTATTTACAATGTTACAATATCTGAAATCGCCCTCTTGTATCTATGTCAAACATAAAAGAACATGTGGAGATTAACAATGTGGATATATCATTTAACATTTTAGTGTTTAGAACACTATCATACATACAGTCCCCAATGATTCCAGAAATATTTTTCAAGTGATATATTGTTAGTTGACACAAGCAGATTTTGTTTAAAACTAACATATGTAATGTTTGAAAATACAGTAAAATCTCTGCAAAGCAAAAGCCTTTAGGTACAGAAATGTGTTGCTCAAGAATAAGTCTTCTTATAGATTTACTTTGGAAAGAAATGATACTGTTATTGTAAAGAGATTTTTGCTCTACAGAGGGTCACTCTATATAGGTTGTATTGTAATCTGTGAATGGAGAATCTATAATAAACACAGCCATTATAATATCACAAAACAATTGGCACACTTTCTGTGACTAAAAGATAGGAATATTGTCAATGTGACCATAAAGAATATCTGTTAAAATCACCACCATATAAACTTAAGATATTAATGTTGTGATGATGTTCGTGCAATTTATTCCAATTATTGACAGATAATATAAATGTCTGAAATACTTCAACCCTTAAACACCTTAATTTGTATGATGGACTTAAATGTGCCTACGAATTTCAGCTGTAATTTGTGGTTTTCAAGAATAATAAGTATCAAATCTAAAATACATATTGAGCAGCTACCATTAAAAACATACCTTGCATTTCTTCTCTTACATATTTGATGAGTGACTGTGTAAAAGACAAAATCCATCTATCCATGTAATTCTCAGAGCTTCCCAACTTTTCCTCATGGTACTCTAATGACATTCCCTCTTCCTATAAAATACATACACTTTATTCTCAATCTGACTAAAGTTCATATAAACAATTTCAACATTACATTGTGTATTTTCAATAGTTTTATCAAAAGGCCTATATTTGGCCATTTTTTATGCAGAAAAAAAAACACTGACTGAAAAGAGTATTATTGAATAATATACAGTATTATTTTATGTTCAACTTCAAGAAGAGCAGAGATTCAAGCATAGTCACTTACCCTTTGTAATCTCTCCACATTTTGCATGAGAAATCTGTAGGCATTATACCATGGAAGGAAAACATCCTTGAGAATATCTTTTACACCATCTTCTCTAAACCTGAGAGAATCTGCTCTCACAGCTGGTGAGTTACACAGGTATAACCTATTATATAAAAATATACTCATTATATTACACTCCAGTCTAAACCAGTTAAGAGATATCCTCTTCTAACCTTATTGAAAACTATTTTCGAGGTTCTGCTTTTCTTGTATGTTTGTTTTTTTTGCTGTATATTACTGTTCTTTTGCTGTATTTTACTGGAGTATGAAGAATCAACAACTGACTGAAAGAGTCACTTTATTACATGGTCTTTCTAATTTCACTTTCCAATATTTCCACTTTTCAATATTAAAGTAAGATCAACCAATGTGCCCCTGAAACCATTAATCAAGAAATGCACATGCATCTTTACACCACCAATTGTGTTCTATATACAATCTGGATGGCACACTCATTTGAAACAAGATATGTTTGTAAAACATGTATGCCCCCTATCAGCAGCCAATTATTCATGTGATAAGGTAATTATGCATGACTTCTGACCCAGTGATCAAACAATTAATAAGGGTTATCAAGTATCTACTGGTCATGACCTTGACCTTTGATCCCTTGACCCAAAACTCAATAGGGGTCATCTGCTGGTCAAGACAAATCATCATACAAAGTTTGAAGTTCCTAGGCCTAAGCGTTTTTACTTAATTGATCAGAAACCGTTTTTACTTACAAGGTCAATGTGACCTTGACCTTTGACCCCTTGACCCCAAAATCAATAGGGGTCATTTGCAGGTCATGACTAATCACCATGCCAAGTTTGAAGTTCCTAGGCCTAAGGGTTCTTTTATTATTGATCCGAAACCGTTTTAACATACAAGGTCAATGTGACCTTGACCTTTGACCCCAAAATCAATAGGGGTCATCTGCTGATCATGACCAATCACTATGCCAAGTTTGAAGTTCCTAGGCCCAAGTGTTCTTTAGTTATTGATCAGAAACCGTTTTTACTTAAAAGGTCAATGGGACCTTGACCTTTGACCCCTTGATCCCAAAATCGAAAGGGGTAATCTGCTGGTCATGAAAAATCACCATACCAAGTTTGAAGTTCCTAGGCCTAAGCGTTCTTAAGTTATTGATCAGAAACCGTTTTTACTTACAAGGTCGATGTGACCTTGACCTTTGACCCCTTGACCCAAAACTCAATAGGGGTCATCTGCTGGTCACCACCAATCATCATACAAAGTTTGAAGTTCCTAGGCCTAAGCGTTTTTAGTAAATTGATCAGAAACCGTTTTCACCTACAAGGTCAATGTTACATGACCTTTGACCCCTTGACCCTAAATACAATAGGTCATCTGCTGGTCATGACCAATCACCATACCAAGTTTGAAGTTCCTAGGCCTAAGGGTTCTTAAGTTATTGATCGGAAAGCATTTTTACCTACAAGGTCAATGTGACCTTTCCCTTTGACCCCTTAACCCCAAAATCAGTAGGGGTCATCTGCTGGTCATGACCAATCACCATACCAAGTTTGAAGTTCCTAGGCCTAAGGGTTCTTTAGTTATTGATCGGAAACTGCTTTTACCTAAGAGGTCAATGTGACCTTGACCTTTGACCCCTTGACCCCAAAATCGTTAGGGGTCATCTACTGATCATGACCAATCACCATACCAAGTTTGAAGTTCCTAGGCCTTAGGGTTCTTTACTTATTGATCGGAAACCGTTTTTGCTTACAAGGTCAATGTGACCTTGACCTTTGACCCCTTGACCCCAAAATCAATAGGGGTCATCTACTGATCATGACAAATCACCATACCAAGTTTGAAGTTCCTAGGCCTTAAGGTTCTTTAGTTATTGATCGGAAACCGTTTTTGCTTACAAGGTCAATGTGACCTTGACCTTTGACCCCTTGACCCCAAAATCAATAGGGGTCATCTACTGATCATGACAAATCACCATACCAAGTTTGAAGTTCCTAGGCCTTAAGGTTCTTTAGTTATTGATTGGAAACCGTTTTTGCTTACAAGGTCAATGTGACCTTGACCTTTGACCCCTTGACCCCAAAATCAATAGGGGTCATCTACTTGTCATGACCAATCACCATACCAAGTTTGAAGTTCCTAGGCCTAAGGGTTCTTTAGTTATCACTCGGAAACCATTTGGTCTACGGACCGACGGACCGACGGACCGACAAGTGCAAAGCAATATACCCCCTTTTTTTCAAAAGGGGGCATAATAATTCAGTAACTTTAAGGGATCAGAAACAGCAGCAGTTTGGATAAAATTGGTATAAAAGGTGGAATAAATGATCCATATTTATTTTAGGTACAGGATACATACCTAAGTGCATCTGCACCATATTTATGAACAACCTCAAGGGGATCTGGGTAATTCTTCTTTCTTTTACTCATCTTCTGTCCATCTCTATAAATACAAAAATATAGTTCAATATTTGTTAGTATGGAGATAAACAAAAAGTTCAACTTGAAGTCCTTAAATGAAACAATGCTTTTTTAACAAAAGTTTTCTTAGCCAGTATCAATTTGACTGCTTGCTGTATCTAACCAGTACTGGTGTTAGATGAGGAATACATGATCCTGACCCTTATAAGACTTTAAACAAAGAATTCCTGTGTTGAGAGGCAGACACTTTAACCACTAGGCTACCACTCCACTCAATAGGCCACCACTCCGCTAAACTTGTGGCTTGGCACTGTGAACCTTATCATGACAGTCTTCATAATTTCAGATATTTATATCTGAACTTGATACTATACAATATCCTTCTATATATCATTGTAAAAATCTATATTATAAATAAGCCTTAATAAGCCTATGTGGAGAGAATTACAATAAGCTTTGAGCTTCCCGTTCAATCCACTAATCACGATTTTGTATAAATTTTGTGTTTGATGTGTAATATTGTAACTAGATATAAAAATAAATATGTTTAAACCAAGCCTAGACAGAAGTATAAATAGAGTGTAACCAAACATACGCAGCCAAGACAAGTCCATTGCACACTAAGTTCTTGAATGGTGGCTTTCCAAATAACAAGGTAGACAACACTAGCAATGTGTAAAACCTGTAAATATACAAAACATTCATTTTAATAGTTGAATGTACTAGAAACAGTGTATCAGTCATTGGCTGTACAAACTTATTAAACTAAATGATTAATTTAATAATTCATCTGAATATCTTAATAAAGTGCTTTCAATTCATAAGGTTAACTAATTTGCATACATAAAATTAATTGTTCACCTTAGTGCAATAACTGGTTAACTCCTATTAAATTTAGAAGGACCTTTACAAATGTAATAGAAACAGATAATAATTGTATGCTCACCATCCTCGAGTCTGGTCAATGCCTTCAGCAATAAAGTCTGCAGGGAATGCATCGTCAAATGCTTTCTTGTTTTCAAACGGGTAGTGAACTTGAGCGTAAGGCATGCTACCACTCTCAAACCAGCAGTCAAACACCTCCGATACACGTTTTAACACTCCCTTCCCAAGCTTTGAAGGAATTGTCAACTTATCAATTCTGAAAGATGGAACAGCCTTTCTTTGTATGATTTTACTATAGTGTTATTTTTTCTTATATCATCCTGTTATGTTAACATTGGTCAAATGAAACATTGACTGGTATTGAGTATACAGTATAGCAGATAATCATGTAAATCTACATTTTATATTATTAGATTTTCTACAAAATGATTCTATATTACATAACATAAGCTATGTGTCACCATACACAAATAACAGACATCAAGAACAGATAAGATAACAGTAAAATCATTAAAGTTACAATCTGCATACAATAACCAGAAATACTAATTTATAAGAGTTAATCAATACATACGTTTCTCTATGTAGATCTTTAATGTCCTTGACCCCTGTCAATTTTTCCAGTTCTTCAATGGAACCCACACAGACAACTTCTTCTAGGTCATCAGACACCCACAATGGGATGGGGGTACCCCAGTAACGGTTACGAGAGATAGCCCAGTCTCTAGCTTCTCTCAACCAGTTTCCAAATCTCTTCTCTTTTACAAAATCTGGTACCCTGCAGGATGTTTATATTTATCATTAATGTTAATAAAACATTTTTTTTTTTTATCAATATTATATAGAACATAACAGAAATTTTATTTCTTGGTTTAAGCATAAAAAGCTCATCACCATATTACATATACACATACAACATATAATACATAAATGACACATGCCATGAACATATATAATTGCAAATATACATATACTGAAGTTTTACTTAACCATATTAGCAAAACTCAAGCGGAAATTGAAAAATGAATATCTTTTTTTGTCCTATCAAACCTTTAGGTACAGATATAAATGTAGGACTTAATACAGATGATAGGTCAAGAACAAGCTTATTGCTTTCCTTAAATATTTTCACAATGTGTACATATACAAATAAAAATATTATACATTTTATACATCATATTAAATGTAACCATGGAAATAACTAGAAGTTATATTGAGCTTGTTTGAAATTAAGAGTATGATCGTTCTTTTCTTATCAATGGAGTACAAAATATTTCTGGACAGGAAATATATTTCAGCTAAAACTTCATCAAACATGTATAAAAGAACTGTATGATAAATCTACATGTCTTTTAAATAGAAATAGATTTACCAGTATGTCTGCGAGTTATTATTTAACAGCTGTTCTTGTGCTTGTTCTACCCTCACAAACCAGCTTGGTACAGCTTTATATATAAGAGGTGTCTCTGACCGCCAGCAGAACGGGTAACTATGCTTCGTCTCACTCTGATGTACAAGATGACCTACTTCCTTTAAATGTTTCATGATCTTCTTATCAGCATCCTGAAATGGTCAGAATTTTTTTTCATAAAATATATTAATTCTCACAACTGATTTTATTTATTAACTAATATATTGATAAATTCAATTTCGTAAGTAACAACCAGGTAAGTAATAACCAGACTATTAATATAGAATGGAGGCTTTTCAAGGGTCATTGGTAGAGGAATGTCATGGGTAACATACTGTTTATCACTTCAGACACAAGCACTAAACCATTAAAAGAAGAACTCCATTGAGGTAAACAAAAAATCGAAATTCTAACAAAGATCAACTGTGGCACTTCAAACGGTAAAATATTCAAAAATAATAAATATATTCAGAATTAAGTTTAAATTAAGTTTTGTGCAATTTTTAGCCTAATTTTAATTGAAATACTTAAAATGCTTTTAATTCTTTGGTCATTTCTGCAAATTAAAATGTTTATTCTTGAAAAGCAAAGTGAGCAAATGATTTGATATTTTGCACTCATATTATTGGTCCGTGGAACAAAAATCCCAAAATCATATTTTAGCTTCCTCATTTCAAAATACCTCAGTTAAGTCCCTTTAACTAAACTACAACCATTAATCTATCTAAATATTTAGAACTTAACTTATTCACCTAATTTTTTATCTATAAACAATATCATCTCCCTCTCACCTATGCATATGACTGTAACACAGAAGCATTATGCAAGTCCCATCCTCAACGTAATTATAGAAATATTTTATTAGCTAAAAGCTTCTCCCATAAATAGTAAATAATGCAGGTCCGAGCAATGCAAGTCAATCAACAATAAACAATACACTCTAAATGGAGATACTAATTTACCTTGATGTACAGTCCCTGGAAGTCTGTAACATCAGCAGTAAACTTGCCGCTAGCATCTACAGGACAGATCATCTCCGAGTCTCTGGTGATGATTCCATACTTCAAACATACACGCTGATCATCCTGTTAATACACAGTAACAATTCTATAACATTATACTCGTTTCAAAAAAAAAGCAAAATTTTATATTTCTTAAATTCATTATTTTCCCGCCATTAAAAATTGATCATTTGAAGAAGCATATGAAGTACTGTACAAAATATTAACACAATGAGGAATGGTTTTTGACAGATTTGGTAATCGTAAACCTAATGAATTTCTTGACATTTTTAGCTATTGTTTTTGGAATTATCTTTTATCAATTTCAGGGATATCAAGATGGAATTTTTGTCAACCATCTTACAATATAGAGCCTAGTAAGACTGTATATATATATATATGCTGGCCAGCCTGGCTCTACTGGTTTCATACACTAATCAATATTGGTTCCAGCAGGGTAAAGATTGGAACACTTTCAAATAAAGAGAGAAATCAATACTTTTCTAGTATTTATAACTATGCACTCTATAAAGAATATCACTAACAGTTCACTTTAACAAATCAGTCATGACAAAATCTGATTACATTCAAAAATGTTTAGAAACATCCTAAAACAATAAGTTATGACAGGTATACAATAGCAAGACACATACAATATCTATAAGTAAGAAATGCACAAGCATTCTAATGTATTTTTATGGAAAGATTCAATCTGCAATTAATAATTTGTTACCGTTTGTAAAACCATCCATCATCATCAACTGAATGTTCATAATGAAAATGTTTGTCATTCAGCTATTCTTTAAATAAATTAATTAATCTTGTTCTGTTGTTTACTTTTTAAACACAAGCAGCAATAATGGCACACATATGCCACCAGAAATGAGCCAGGTCAACCTGTGAAGTATGACCATGGTCTATACTGTTTACCCTAAATATATCACCTATTTCAGGTGGTGGTGTTGGTAGTTTTCACTCCAGATCACGACAGTAAGCCATATTGAATTTACCAGAGCACAGTTCAGCCACAGCATTGTTCCTGGGCAGACTGTCAAGCAATTTACCAGTACTAGTTGTCTTCACTTCCGCAATGAACTTCTGAATATGCCAGAGCAGAGGTACAGTGCGAATGATCGTAGAAAAGATTTTAGGATCAACCACAACGAGAGTGACCTGCATGTCTGGGAATCGAACCCGGGTCACCCGTTTCACAGTCCAACGATCTACCTATTCAGCTAACAGGAATGCTATCTCCTATTTCAGGTTCTAATTATTCATACCAACATTTCTATGTTACATCTTATAATAAAATATTGAATGTTACCTCTCCGAAGTATGGGGCCTGATGTACTACACCTGTACCACTCTCTGCTGTCACATAACTGTCACATAATACACGGAATGCTCCAGACTTCTTCCCCATCTGGAAAATCACATGCAGCGTAACTTTAGACTCACCATTATCATTTATTGTTGTATATGCATATATGTTCAGTCTCGAAATAAAAATTATCATATGTGGTAATACTATATGCTATGACATAAAACGTTTGTTGCTTTTTAAAGGGTATCAATCTATATCTTATGAAATATTTCTATAAAAATTATCAACAGTAAAATTATACTGGTTCCAGTATTATATGGTCGTCCCGAAAAAGCTGTAACATAGAATGTCTCTGTTATTTAACACACATGATTATTGTACGTAAACAGAATAAAATTTTCCGGAACAAAAAATAATTTTTTATTTTAAGTAGGATTTATCCCTTTAGCAATGATTTTGGGCATGCATCATTCACTTTTAAGGCAATTATCTACCATGTTTATTTCATACAAGCATTTTGGAAGTAGTCTTTTTTAAAATTCAAACAATAATTTTTGTAGCAGATATATAGCTTTATACACTTTAATGCCAAGTTTAAAGTAACACTGGCATTGTAAAGGTCACAAATGGCAACTTGCCAACTGTTTTTGATGGTGGAAGACCTCAGCTACCCCTCCATACAATATTTCAGGTATGAGTGAGAATTATAGAAGAATCAGTAAATAGCTTCCTCAATGAAAGAATATGTAGTCCCGTTTCACAAGATTCTAATCCATAGCAGGTAGGACAACATCACTTTTAAACTTTGTTATTTTGATGTTCTGAATTTGTATGCCTATTTTAATATGATTTTAACCCTTTCACTGCCTTAGGGACGGCAGCCGTCCCTATTATTTTCGGCGTATTTGCCATATGGACGGCTTTTGCCGTTTCTATAATAATTATAATAATAATAAATATATAGATAATTATACCATCGACAATGATTGTTATTATACTAGCAGATTTGGAAACATATATAATAATTATAATACTAATAGCAAATAATAATAATTATATTTATCAATAATATAGTAATTTCTTAGAAAACCTTCTGGCAAATAGGTGATCAATAAATAAATAACCCTCTGGCAGCGAAAGGGTTAATCATATCTTAGCTGTTGATCCACAAGATCGACTTTTGTAGATAACTAACCAGTAATTACCAATTTCTCCTAAAGTCAAACAATATGTTTGGTACATGCAGTCTTTCAATAAACTGTATATAACACAGGACTGACTATATATTTAAAATTATGGAAAAATAAACATTTCTTACATAACTGAAGTATGGGAAAAGTGGTTTGTATCTTTTATTCTCAAGCACCTTTCCTTGAAATCTAGAAGAAAAAAACAAAGAGACATTTCAGTATGAGAACATAATATCAATATCAAGTACGAGTACCAATACAATGGAATCTACATTCAATAAAGTCAAATAAGTTTCAGAACATTTATTTCACAAAGCATGCGTCTTTGGGCCATTATTGGATTTTTATGAATATAAACGGTGAAAATCATTTATTATATGCGTATACCTTATAAACTTTACAAAGAATTACCAGACAATGATTTCATAAACATACAGATGCACACAATGTAATTCAAAAATTAATATCAATCTACTGAATCCTACTGTCTTCTTGGTGGATGAACTTAACAGTATTGTATATAAACACAAGAGCATCACATGCAGCGTTAACGTTTGTCTGTTAAGGGTAACACCTATCATAACCAATTTTTATAAAATGAGACATAATTACTAAACATATTGCTTTCATAATTATGCCCCTTGTCTAACAACTGCACCTTGTCATGATAAACAAGTATTCAAAGTTTCATGTTGATACCATCTTTGAATAATAGATTACATTGCAGGACGACAATAACAACGATGATGATGACGACGCAAAGATCATAACAGCTCAACTTTTTCTTTGAAACAGAGAAGTCAAAAGTGGTTTTAAACATGAGCATACCATGCAGATAAAGATAACTTTAAACTCACTTTTCTAGGACTGTATATTCCTCAGGATTTTTAAAAAGAGCTTCTAATCTAGCCTCCATCATGATGTAAACCTTCTCCGTGTTATTGTCTATAATGATAAAAACAAAAATTTATCCCATGACTTGCACGGACTTCTCATAAAATATATATTTGATGCTCTTTATATAAAAAAGGCTTTATTTCAAATGTTTGCTTATCTACTCTTCTATTAAACATGAAGGAAAAGCAAAGACAATAATCACACAAAAGATAAAATGTTGGGACTGTAACTTCTATCTGGTTTTTTTTCTTAACATATTTTTAGCTTTTGTCATTGTTGTTGTAATCAAGTGGAGGTTTACCATGAGAGCAGTCAAAGATAGTATTGATTTATAAGTCAAAAGGGTATCATTTTTTATAATATTTTGAAAATTGGGCTTTTGGGTATTTGTAAATGCCAAGACTTTATGAGCATTTTTTTCCAAATTTATAATTGTAATTCTTGTTTTTTGCTAAAATTTTTGTTTTCAGTTTTTTTGTCTCATTTGGCTACCCATAGTGCTATACCCCAGAAGAATTTGTAGTTATTTTAGGGGTAATGAGTGGTAGCAGCAGGTGCCTGTGTGCCCAAGACGGTCCTAGTTTGTTAAATGTCCAGTATAATTCATTCATAAATGGGAGTTTGGTTTATAAGGTCTTGTCTGATGGACCATCAGCATTGTAAGTGGTGGAGCATGGGATCAAAACTCAACCTCTGCAGTGCATTACCACTTCACCACAGTCTTGTAATGTTCCAAATTTCTTAAAAACAGTTATCATTTATTCATCTATTACTCACCTTTGACCTTGACATAGTCCATGGTTGGATTCACACACAGTGACAGGTTGCTAGGCAATGTCCATGGAGTGGTTGTCCAGGCAATCATTGACACACCTGGTGTCTCTTCCAGCTGGAAACTGACAATTACTGAAAGGAAAGAAATGTTATCTTGATAATTTAATTTTTTTCCAATTTTCAAAACAAGCCATGGCTTTCCAAAGAGGAAAATGGAGGAAACCTAAAATCAGATTCCAACAACTGAGAATGGAAAATGCCAACCCATTTTTATGAAATTTTCATTTTTAATTCACTTTAACATGCATGGTACATAGCAGAAGCTGTCTATAGGAACAGCTTTCTGTCTTTTAGCTGATAGAAGTTCTTGTAAGAGCAGGGGGAAATTTTAGCATATTTAGGGGAAAATCAACCTATTTTGGGCAAGGGGAAACAGCCTTTATTTGATTGTAAAATACAGTGAAAAAAAAATCAATGACAATAGATTTTACATATTATTTATGTTAATGTTGTAAATCAACAGACGCTTCTTGGGATAAGAGGCAGAGCCATGAAACTGAAACAAAAATATCTAAATATGATTCATATAACATTTACCTGCAGGGTCAACCACATCTTTGTAATTCTGTCCCGACTCAAAATTTGAGAGTGGTGTATTACAGGCAGTAGAAAATGGCATTACCTACACAAATAAAATAGAGTTAACACTGTCATACATGTCTATGTAATATATAAAACACATAATTTGTGAAATGATCCTGGTTAAATATACAGCATTTGGTTTTCTCTAGAAACATGACAGCATATTGAAGTCTTAAAATAAATATTTAGCTTCCATATGAGGTCAGTTCATTCTGCTTGTTTTACCATGAGGCAAAAATATTTTCATATTATATATCAGTTTAGTTGCAGACAAGGTGAAAAGTCATCATAAATAAAGTTAACTACACAAATGTACTACATTTACATAGATTGCATTCCCTGTATGTTGGCTATGATGACAACTTGCCTATGCTACCTGTTTAATGCTAAACACAATCATGCTGTCTCCTTATTTTTAGCACATCAAAGTTAACATCCCTTAAAAAAAAGACAATTCTTGTTGAAGGCTGCCCACAGTGAATGTCCAATATACAAATTTCATTAAGGTAATTTTATAACAAAAATACCTATGTTATTGATTAGTATTATAAATGACTTACCTTGGATCCTTTATAGACAAGCCCCTTGTTGTACAGTTCCTTGAACACCCACCAGATTGACTCCATAAACCAGGGATACATGGTCTTATAGTCATTCTCAAAGTCAATCCATCTTCCAAGTCGAGTCACAATGTTCTAATGGAGATATAAACATATTTCTTTGTTTTATATTACATGTATATCTCTCAATAAACAGTGGTAGTGGGGGGAAATTGAACAGTAATACAGTGTCGTATGATTACTGAAACACTTCTATACAAGACACAAACTTTAACATTTACTGTAACTAACAAGCCCTTTACATAAGATTATAAGGTTATATTTTTACCTCCCAATCAGAAGAATATCTCATGACAATCTTGCGGCATTCAGCATTATACTTCTCTATTCCCATCTTGGCCACATCTTCTGGTCCTTTAATTCCAAGTGTTTTGTCAATTTCATATTCCTACAATAAGTGTAATATTATAAAAACTGTACCAATGATTCAATGGAGTGTATTTATTTAACATTAGAATCAATATGAAGATATAAATTACACAAATATGTACTTTTATCAGTATGTCCTATCAGTTACTTGTTGTTGTTTTTTCTTGTAAACTTTATTGATCAATGTTTCCCAATATAAATATTTGAGATATAAAATCTTAAATTATTTTTTGTCAAGTTTGATTTTCTTGAAATATTTTGGCACATCAGGAGGCATGCAGCTTAACGTCTTGCATTAACAAGTAAAAACTGAATCTAACATATTGCTACAATTTTCTTCCTTTTGTTGACTGGTTTTTGATTTTCTTCTTTTTTTACCCTCAGAAAACACATGGTATATTTAGTATAATTTACGATGCTTTTATAAGTATGCTAAAACTGATGTGCACTTTCATTGCCATTTAATGCAGTCTCGGGCCAACTCTATGTCATTTTTTGAGATAAAACAAATTATGCATGAAGTATAACTGCAAAGCATGACATATCCCAGCATGGTCAGTCATACATGCACTTAAAATAATATGTCAGCTTCTACTCGAATAACTCCAAACATTACAAACACCATGATATACCAAATATAAATACAATATTGAGAATCAGCACTTACAACTGGCAAACCATGACAATCCCATCCAAATCTTCTCTCAACATGGAAACCACTCTGATGTGCCCATCTTGTTACAACATCTTTGATTGTTCCTGCTAAAATATGTCCATAATGGGGAAGTCCAGTTGCAAATGGGGGCCCATCATAAAATGTATACCTGTTCAAGAACAATAAATATAGTAGAATTAATAACAACAGCTAAATATTGGATTAATACTGTTTGATATCTGACAATGTAACTATGTAAATGTGTAAAAGTGTAATATTATTCCGGAAACTATAAACTACTTGAGATTTTTTTAATCATAACCAGGAATTGTAAGTTAATTAATTGTAAGTTTACTTTTTTACTTTCTTGAAATTGAACATTTTCCTTGTCTTTTGTGTTGAAAAAAACCTTCAAAATTGGATTTTAAAAATGCAACATTTCTTTTAAACAACACAAGTTAAATTCAGTCTACCTTGGTTTTCCTTTGGAAAGTTTAAGTGAAGTTTTGAAAGCATCTATTTCTTTCCAGTATTTAAGAATATTTTCTTCCTCTCCTGGGAAAGAGATTTTCTCCGGCACTGGCTGCGCCATTCTTCACCTGCTTGATAAATGGAAGAAACTTTCAATAAAACAATGTGTAAGTAATACTAGAATGGGAATTCTAAACAGTGTAATTTGGAACCCTCATGAACTGAAATGTTTTTCCAAGTTTCAATTTTGTCCATTTTACATTATTATAAAACAAAATATGGAAAAAAGTTTCACCAGTCAAGATTCTCTTTTCCCTATGAACATATTTTCCATTCTGACTCTCTTATCAGATTTTTCTCTCCAAATGACAGAGAATATGCACTACGATTTAATAACAACATGAGGACATTATTATAACATAATGAGTAAAGAATACCAGCATCAATTTAATTAATATTAATTGAGCAAGTACTATTACATCAGCAACTCCTCATGTTCCTAAAAACAATATGTAATTGAATAAAGCCAATTATACCAATATATAGATTTGTATTATTAGTAAATTTGAGCTTTGTTTGATGCAGGGGAAGTAAATTTGGAGTGTCCAAAAAAATTCATCAAGGCCTGTAACCATTCAGTGTCTAGGATGGCATCTTCAAACATTTAAGCACTATAATAGTGAAGAAGCCATTATTTTCAAATATTTTTTAATCCTTTATTCAGTATTTTTACTTTGTAACTTTCAATTTGGGATTATTTCCTGTGGATTGGGAAAATAATATTCTATTTTCAATTAGGAATATGACCAAATATTGGTTATAAAATAAGCAAAAAAATCCCTGTATTTGAATAGATAAACTGAGCATACTGATACATGTATAGCAGCCTGATTACAAATAAAAAATAATTGTGAGTGAAACGTCTATACTAATGAAAAAATGGGAATGAAATGTCTAGACTAGACTGGTGTTAACCCTCTTAGGATTGAAATTTCTAAACAGTGAAATGTCTACGGAGCGTGTCACAGGGTGAGAAAAATGTGCAGCATGACCGGGGCTCAACCCAGGACCTTTGGAATACAGTTCTGCAGCTCTACCGACTGAGCTATCCAGCCGCTTACACATGTTCTTCCCTAATAAGTGAACAGTTCTGAACCTTGAAATACTCCCCTACTATATTAAAATTCATCCTCGATTTCACAGAGATACAGAGCAACGTAAATCAAACTCTGAGTTATATCCAGTCACGGTCCCACATTGGGTGCCAACTGTCACAGGGTGAGAAAAATGTGCAGTTAGACCAGGACTCGAACTCGGGACACTTGTCGGTAAATAGCTTATTAGCTAAAGTTTCTTGTAATATGTAAACCGACTTAAAGTAAAGTTTCTTGTATCTTAGAATACCGTACTGCAGCTCTACCGACTAAGCTATCCCGGTGATTACACACTTTCTTCCCTAAAGAGTGAATAGTTGTCAGTTCTGAACTGGGCCGTGTAAAGTGAAACGTCTCATATTTTCATTTTATTATACCACTTCTGCATTAAAATTTTACATAAAAATGAAAATAGGACATTATTCCAGCGTATTCAATTTTACGAACGAAAAAAATCTATAAAATTATCATTATCAATGATTATGGATGGTCCGTAAACCTAAATTTACAAACTGTCCGTAAATATCATGAAGCTTATAAAATGCGGTCTCCCTAATTACCGACAAGAACCGTCAGGAACCGACAAGAACCGACAAGAAGTAAAAATGGGAAAATACGAATTAATTTCACTTATTTATCATTTAATAATAACAATTCCTAATATTTTTTACATAAAAAACATAATAAATCCTTTCTGAACCATGTTTATAGGCAAATATCTATACCGACAAGAAGTCAGTCTCAGTTTCTCACCGTCAAGAAATCGGCCATCTTCCTATCATTGATATTACATTAAGAATTTGTGTATAATAAGTGTTTAATCATAATTTATTTTTATTAAGATTATTTTGTATTATAAATAATAATTATTATGTTAAATGTTTTCTAATTCAATTAAGAATATCATCATTAATGAATGACCTTATGAGAATATTCGCGGCTACCGACAAGAAAGTTTCATTAATTATTGCTAGCAATGGAGTAGGTTTTTAAATGTGTTCAAATGATTTATTGTCAGCCTATATTCAATAAATAATTTAAAACATTGTAGTTGTCATTGATTACAAAATATTCTGCATTTAGACAATATTTCTGTACCGACAAGAAATGTGTTCATGTCAACCGACAAGAAATGTTTTCATGCCTACAGTACCAACAAGAAATATTATCATGCTTCATGTTTTCTTTAAAGAGTCATAATGTATACGAAGATATAACATATTGAATGAAAGTGATCAGTTATAGTACGAAGATATAACATATTGAATGAAAGTGATCAGTTATAGTTGTTTAAAATAATAGTATTTCATAAATGTATCAAAATCTATTTCATATATAAAGTTTTACATACCTGACATTTAAATTATCCAATTATAATCCATTTACAATATTTACACAAGTACACCGGTAAAGCATGCAACAAGAATATACGAAATAAAATAAAATAATGGACGAAAACATTAAATAAATTCAATTAATTTATTAACATATATACATATACCATATTCAGGGCATAAAATAAAAATAAATATTTTTCCAATTACAAATTAAAAAATCGATTGCTCAAACAAAATTGATTGATATTACTCAATTAAAGCTTGTGCGCGTGTGTTTCTCACTCAGTTAGCTTTGAGCGATTTAATTTAATCAAAGCTGTGAAAACTTTAAGCGTGTATTGCGCTTGTTCATAGCAAACGCTTGGGGTGAAAAGGTGCGAAAACAATTTCGAAATGAAAAGCTGTGAAAGAAAGATGTATATAAAAAGTAGCAACGAAAGAAAAATTTTATCACAATTGTGGTTCTCAGTCTAGCTGAAACACTGCGATATTTGCTTGCACAGAGAATTTGGTGAGAGATTTATATTACCTTTGTCATTTATATATACATAATAGTTTTACACAGTCGATTCAAAATAAACTAAAAATAAAAAGGAAGAAATACATATTTCTTAAACCTTATTTTATTTAATCTCTTAAATATTTTGTAAGAATATTATTTTTTTTTTTCATTGTTTATAATTGAGGCTCTTTTTTCTTCAGGACGGCTTATCCTTGTGGTGATTGTGGCAAAAACTGTGTAAAGTCTGTTGTTGCTTGTGATTCTTGTGATAAATGGTTTCATATCAGATGTCAAAAACTTACTAAAGCAAATTTGGCAACACTTACCGATGCAAATTCATGTGAATTTCATTGCTTTAGTTGTTCATACAAAAATGGGGAATTTGATTATAAGAAATCTTGTTTGTTTAATGCAATTTCTGTGGCACTCTTTGGGCATGAAAATTTGGCAACTGAAATAAGAGTTAGAACATGCATTGAATTGAATGAAAACATAAATATATACAAGAAAAACTACCGCAATTTGAGTTGCGTTGCCCCAGACATACATCAAGATTGCGTTGATATTGCTCAAAATTATAAATTTTCATCTGTTTGGTCTATACTTGCCGCAACATCGGTCATTGGAATACCAATACAGTCGGTCTACCCACCAAAGAATGGAATTTTGGACAAAACAGTAGGTCTTTTGAATCAAACATTTTATCCTCTCGGTACGAAGTCTGCAAAAAAAGAGCCAATTCAAATTATGTGGACTAGAACTAATTTGACAACCGACAAAATTTGGTTACCAAATCACTTCGTACCGATTTTAAAAAAGTCTGGTGTATCATTGATCGATGTTGATAATTATGATGATTTCCCACCCTTAAGTGACCCAAAGGTACCGTCAGAAAGTTATACATGTTGTCCAACTATTTTTCATTCTACGTTTATGCAGGATTCTGTAGAACAGCATGCAGCAGAGTCCGACAGTGCGCAGCATTTCATGTCCGATGTGTCCGTGATCACACACACTAGCGTTCAAATGTCCGATGCAAATGAAAAAAGTATCATGTCCGATAAAAACAATATGTCTGTTGGAAGTCATGAGTCTGATACAACTGCAAGTAGTTGTATGTCCGAACAGAACAATATGTCTGCTGCTGCATGTGAGAACTTATAGATATGCTGGAAAGTGAAGTTAAACATCAAGAAGCCCTGGTCAGAGGTGCACTGTACGGTCATGGTGACTTTGAATTGGCCCCATCTGCTATGGCCCATAAGATTTCAATATCAAAATGGCAAAGTAAAAATGAACAGGAAAAAATGATACATGTTTCAAAATTTCATGAGAAGAAAGAAACTTTAAAGTCAACTGATGGCAAACTTGTCATTCCTAAGACAGCTACAATAGCTAAGAAACCAGGACAGAAAAGGAGGGTAAAGGACTCAAAAACTTTATCATTCCCAAAAAGGGCTCGATTCGAATAAAAATAGCTATACTTATCACTGTAACCTCTGGCGCGACGTAAAAGTCCGTAAGTTCAATGCAGTGTACATAGTGTATTGTCTCACATCTGCAACCTCTGGCGCGGCCCAAAAGCCAGTAAGTTTAAAGCAGTGTTGTGAATTACGTAGAATAAATGTTAAATTTTATATCTATTTTGATGTTATGATTTGTTTTGTAAACATCTCTGCAACCTCTGGCGCGGCGTAACTGCCCGTAAGTTTAATGCAGTGTTGTGTTTGTGTACATAACTTTTATGAACTTTCACATTTCTGCAACCTCTGGCGCGGCCCAAAAGCCCGTAAGTTAAAAGCAGTGCTGTGACTTATGTAAATAATTTTAAATTTTTTAAAAAGTTTTAAAAATTTCTGTAACCTCTGGCGTGGCGTAACTGCTCGTAAGTTAAATGCAGAAATATGATTATGATAATAAAATATTAAAACCTATAGTGGGGATATCTGTTTATTTCTTTACTTCTATAGTGGAGAAATGAACCACCACCTGATGAGACCCGTGGAGGGGTCGAAATAGGTTTCAATGTTTTTTTCATTAACAAATACATCATCAATTTTCTTCAAAAATACAAAAAAGATTATATACTTGTTCTTTCTCGTTCTCAATTTCTTGTCGGTAAATCTTCATTACGCATGATCCTTGCTTTTTTCTTGTCGGTAATCGATTTGTTAAATATATTTTTAAAATTAAAGGAATAAACACAGATATTTTTTTCTTATATGCATTAAATATGAAAGTTTAATGTCTTAAAAGTTATTTAATTACACAAAAAAAGATTATATACATGTTCTTTCTACACTACAGCTCGTTTCTCAATTTCTTGTCGGTAAATCTTCATTACGCATGATCCCTGTTTTTTTCTTGTCGGTAATCGATTTGTTAAATATATTTTTATAATTAAAGGAATAAACACAAATATTTTTTCTTATATGCATTAAATATGAAAGTTTAATGTCTTAAAAGTTATTTAATTACAAAAAAAGATTATATACATGTTCTACATCTACACTACAGCTCTTTCTCAATTTCTTGTCGGTAAATCTTCATTACGCATGATCCCTGTTTTTTTCTTGTCGGTAACCGATTTGTTAAATATATTTTTATAATTAAAGGAATAAACACAAATATTTTTTTTCTTAAATGCATTCAATATTAAATATGAAAGTCTTAAAAGTTATTTAGTTACAAAAAAGATTATAAACATGTTCTACATCGAAACTACAGCTCGTTCTCAATTTCTTGTCGGTAAATCTTCATTAAGCATGATCCCTGGTTTTTTCTTGTCGGTTGCATATACATTCATGCAATGTTATGAAAAACTATTTTATGACTAGAAATAAGGTTGAAACATGTTTATAAGATACTCTGACCACAACTTTTGCAACTTATTATATTATTTATATCATATTGAAAATAACAAATCTTTCTTGTCGGTGTCAACGTAACAGTAACAGTACGCGTTGCACTCGAATTTTTCTTGTCGGTACGCATATATTTAATTTTCTATAAATTAACAAGAAAAAAATTATCAATTATGAAATATATATATGCCCTGCATGTTTAACAATCATAAAAACACATCTGTACTTGTTTATTTGTAATATATAGGCTCTTGTCGGTTCTTGTCGGTTCCTGACGGTTCTTGTCGGTAAATAGGGAGACCCATAAAATGATAACATTATAAGCAAAGCTGATGAATAGGCAAAGCTGCTTACCTAAAATAATTGTCTAGCAAAATGATTCAAAAGCTATATATTTGAGGTCTTTATAAACTAACAGATGAGGAAATAATTACAAAAAAGTTGACACTCGTTGCATCACCTCACATGTACCGGCGGTGCTTCATGAAAATAACACGTTGTAAATATATATAGAGATAATTCTGGGTGGGGGGGGAAATCCCGGGCGCCTACAGAAAAGCCGGGATCCGGGATCGTATTAAACATATAGTAATCCCGGGAATTGACCACCAGTTCTCGGTGTCGACGATAAATTATCTATTATCTCATGCATTTCGTCAAAGATATGCTTGTGTTATGCTTGTTGACAATTTTAATGATGTTTTTATTGTTGATTGCTATGATATATTTTTGTATTTGAATGATTTTCGGTACTGTATACATGTTTCTTGGTTGGTTATTTCATATGTTTAATAATGAAAACGTTTAATTAATAACAGCCGTACTACAAATACTACAATTTGTACGGAATAAAGTTTAGATGATTATTATTATTATTATTATTATTATTATTATTATTATTATTATTATTATTTGAATTTTTTTGTAGAGCTTTTTGAATAAGTTTGATTTATTGTAGTTATGAAAAAAAAATCTGCTAACGTATTTTTCACACATGAGAGAGTTAATTGACATCAGAATGTCACACACCTAAAAATCTTATTTTGGAAGTACATGTACTGGCAGTGGAAGTCGCTGTGTATTGGTTATCAAGACTGCGGGGCCCCTTTATTGAACACGTGACTGTTGGTGTCCATCATAAACATCATGATAAAAGTTAATATACGTATTTATACATATATTCTTAAATGTATGTACCAAACTTTTATCATAATATGATAATATGTAATAAGGAAAAAGTAAAATATAAAGTTGTCAATCAATTCATTTATTGATATATACATGTATTTTCATAAATCATTAATGCAGGTGTTCAATTGGTAAATTTATCGATTAGATAATTAACCCTGCATTTTTTTTACAGATGTGTAATGTTATGTCAGAGTTCTTTAAGAAATTATGAAGTAGACTTGTGGTGTTTCTTTTTTCTGACGGAGTTTGGTTTTGATAGTTTCGAGATACTGACACAAATGACACGTGTCCTTTATAATATTAGAGTAGAGACACCCTGTCTGGTGAACCCAAAAGTGTGATTGCTACCGTAAAGTAAGATTAAGCCGGGTTTTTTAATTTTATTTAAATACATTTTGTTTTGATTCGTCACGGAAAAAGATGACCTTTTATATAAATCTTTTTATTTTCCTACTTAGATATAAATCTTTTAATTTTTTAGTGATTTCCACTTGTCAAATCATTTTTACTCCTATCAATAAATTACTATATTGTACCTTTTAAAAAAATCACAACAAACGAATTATCATTTTCTCTCTATTAAATCATTACGATACTTGAACAATATTTTTAGAATATCTTTGATCTACCATATCACATTTAGAAAAGCCGGGATTGTATTAGATATATAGAGATCCCGGTATTTGACCACTGCCGTGTCATATTCAGAAAAGCCGGAATCGTATTAAACAAAGAGAGATACCGGGAATTGACCGTCTGCCATATCACATTTAGAAAAGCCGGGATTGTATTAGATATATAGAGATCCCGGGATTTGACCACTGCCATGTCACATTCAGAAAAGCCGGGATCGTATTTAACAAAGAGAGATATCGGGAATTGACCGTCTGCCAAATTACATTCAGAAAAGCCGGGATCGTATTAGATATATAGAGATCCCGGGATTTGACCACTGCCATGTCACATTCAGAAAAGCCGGGATCGTATTTAACAAGAGAGATACCGGGAATTGACCGTCTGCCAAATTACATTCAGAAAAGCCGGGATCGTATTAGATATATAGAGATCCCGGGATTTGACCACTACCATATCACATTTAGAAAAAGCCGGGATTGTATTAGATATATAGAGATCCAAGCTGGATCACATTTATAAAAGCCGGGATCGTTTTAGCACAAGCAGTGTCTATCATCACCATCATCATCGTCGTCATCACCATTATCGTCATCACTAATAAATCAAGTTATTATAATATAGGGGAATTATTATTGATAGGCATGCGGCATAGTTTAAATATATATAATAATGGGTAAATAACGAAGGTCAATACAAGTTGGCAATCTATTAATTCTATGATAATATACATGTATTTAAATCATATATCAGTAAGGTAGAAGTAGCTAGTTCATTTTGAACAAACACAAAACAGAACAGAACTTTTATTTCGGATTTAATCACATACATAATAATATTCAAGTAACATGTACTTTCAGTGGAATCAATGTAAAGAAATCATGATATTAATAGTATAAAGAAAATCAATAATTGTAATGAAACTTACGTTGATTGTTATTAAGCCTTTTTTATGAACATATTTAAGGAAGAAAATCAATATCAAAACTTTAAATAAAATTTTTTGATCTATCAATTGAACATTGTTTACTAGTGAAGTTCTAACAGTCATAGCATTTTTGTAATAAAATGCTAATTTACATAGTTCATTTCTATTGTTACTTCGCACCAATGCAATAAATTTGTACATACTTGGGTTAACAAAATAATATCTTTTAATATAAAGGTTACGAATATTTGCATAACATGGGCATATAAGATCAAAATTACATTATCTAATAAGCAGAATATGAAAAATATAAAAATATTAAGTTGAAAATATCACAATATAATTCATTGTACCTTTGATAAAATATGCAGTGCATTAATCTGGCGTGAAGTATAATTTTATGATAATGCCTTTTTATCTTTTCTCAATTAATTCGCTTTGTGACACAATATTTTTATGTTGCAAGACTCAAACTTGTTTTTATTGGCAAAAGCATTTTACAGTGTCAAGTTATTTGGTCTTTCTTTTACAATTGCCTTTTATGGACCGTGTTTCACACTGTGTTTACTTATATCGTGTGTAAAGATAATATATCTTACATGTGTGCACTAAAATATGTTTATTTTTTACATTCAGAAAGAGAAATTATCAGTATTATAAATATCAATTTTAAGTATAATTAATATTTAATGCAATAGCTATTAAAATTCGAAATTAAGGTGTTGAATTTTTTAATTGCTTCATCATTATATTTTTCATTTACCATGATCTTGCACATATATAAATTTTCATCAATTATGTAACGTGAATTACTAATTTCAATGTCATACGAACCGCAGCCAGAAAAGCCGGGATCCTATTAAAACATATAGGGATCCCGGGAATTGACCAGTCCGAGAATATATTTTTCAGATAAGCCGGGATCGTATTAAACATATAGGGATCCCGGGAATTGACCAGTCAAAGAAGATATTTTTCAGATAAGCCGGGATCGTATAAAAAAACATAGGGATCCCGGGTAATGACCAGTTCAAGAATATAGTTTTCAGAAAAACCGGGATCGTATTAGACGTACAGATAAGAGTAAATTATCATTCGGTCTATTGGCCATAGTCGGAAGTGTCACTAAACACCTTTAATACACCAATGTTAATTAACACCAGGGACGATACGTTTTGGGTCCTGTACTGGACATATTGTTTAAGAAAATGAGGTCCGCTACAGTTCTTTTTCATTCTATATTAAAAATTGACAAATAATTTGTTCTTTTTAAAAATTATTCATTTTAGACATTCATATCTGTTTATAAGTGAAACATGTTATTTTTATACGATCCATGGAACTTGATTACTTGTTAAACATCTGTAATATATACCTTATGTTTACATTTGTATTCTTTCTTTTTTTCCTTCAACGTGAAAGCCTTCTGGTATAGTATATATCATTAGAAAAACAACAAGACATTTGTTAATTTGCAGATAAATCAGCATTTTTATATAGTATTTTACACGCATTTTAGGTAAAATAAGCATGCCAATTAAGTCGAACTTGTATTTACAATAATGTATAAATACTCTACCATAATGGTCACGAAAAATAGTTGATTTCCCTTATTAGAGATAAGAGATCCCGGATAATCGCATTAAGAAAAGCCGGGATCGTATAAGATATATATATCCCGGGAAATTGACCATTACCATATCTTTGCTTTCAGAAAAAAGCCGGGATCTATTAAACAGTACAGAGATCCCGGGAATTGACCACCTGTCATACACGTCAAAAGTTTTTTTTTTGTTATCAATTATGTTAAGTATATCTTCTGATCTTTTTCTAAAAATAATATTTAAATACATGAACATACAATTAAGCCAAATATTGTATTAACAAAAACTTTGAAATATCCAAGTATACTATACTGTAATTATACAAGTAATGTGATTTCCGCATTTTAAGTGTGTTAATAAATAACTCGAAATATATTTAAATCTTAAGTAAAATTCATTTACTGTACATTACATACAATTAAAGAAATAAATAGTTAACATTTAATCGCCTCTCATTACGACAAAAATAAACACAAATATAGTTTATGAGTTTTCCTTATATATCTAATACGATCCCGGATCCCGGGCGTCCCGGATCCCGGGATTTTCCCCCCATGCCAAGGGAAGTAATCACTGTGAGGGGTCGCCGGTCTCCTATCGGTAATTCACGGTCTCTCCGGGATTAACTGAGACCGGCGAATAGTATGATTTAGTATCACATGTTTATTGTCTTGTCTCTCCCGGTTTTGGCATAGATATTTTATTTGATGTAACAAATAAATAAGATTTTTTTTCCAAAAATGAATATTTGTCACTCTCAGTTTGGTTACAATAATTGATTAAACACAGATCATCTCTCAAATTTATTTATTTATTTATTATTATTATTATTATATATAAACATACAAATCTCAAAATAACAATAGCATGTTTCATTTTATTTATGTCAGATAAAAACAATAAATATACACAATAAAAGAATAAAATACATTTTAATAAAAAAATGGGGAAATTTTTGGAAATTTAAAAAATTTACACAATCAACTTTTTAAACATTTGTTTTTAAATTTTTTATTTTGCGTTTAGTTTAAAAAAGTTATGAGGGAATTTCTTTAAGTTAAAAAATTTGATTTATTAAATTATTTTTAAATTTATTTTATAATTTAAAAAAAGTAAAAACAAAAAATTTTTTAAGGATAAAAAAATTTTATATTGAAACATTAATCATAATTTACTGACCTTTTCAGGTTTATTTTAGAATTATAATCGTCGGTCAATGTTACAATTGAATTTCTATAATTTATATTATAATTATATTAAAAACAATAGTAGTAAATGTAATAACTCAGTATTTAGATAGCACATAAAACACAAAAAATAAAACATATTCATAAAGGATGTAAAAAACACAACAAACATACATGTATTAAAACATGTATTACAATTATTGTACACATAAATAAAAACAATTATGCTCATCATAATCAACATGGTATTATAATCAGTGTGAACATTTTTCTTAAGATATTTATTGATTGGGGCCAACGATTATATAATAGAAGGGGCAATAAAAAAGTTTGGTGTTGACCATGCGTTACACACATAGATTATAAATGATTGTATATATCCTTTGCCAACGATAATCATGTTTTGATAATCTCGATATTACATTTAGCATCTTATAATTTAAAACAGAAAGATGACTGTTTGGCAAAATCGGCATGAAATATTGTCAATCATTTATAGCTTGGCTACAGTTTCATTGACAATTACATAACAACACAGAACATATCTTACATGAAATTTAATTATTGTTCATATAACGAAATAGATAATGGTCACAAATGTAATGTCGTGATTATCAATGGCAACGGGCATATACAATCATTTATTATCAATTTGTGTAACGCATGATCAACACCACACTTGTGTATTGTCCGTTATTATTTAATCATTATTAGCGAGGACCCCTTTTTAAGGTATCTGTTCAAACTTAGTAAAAAATAACATTACAATGTTGATCATGTTGAGCATAATTATTTTATTATACAATATAATGGTAATATCTATTTTAATATTTTTTCTCTTCATCTTTTATGAATAATGTTTGCTTTTTCTTTTATTGTGTTTTATGTGCTATCTTAATACTGAGTTATTACGTTGACTAATTTTTTGGTTGAAATTGTAAAATAAAGTTTAGAAATGATCCAATCTACATCTATATCATACTGCTTAACAATCAATTCTGATTATGACTAGCAGGCGCGTTGTCAGGGAACTGTTTATAAAAGAGTTACTTATATGCAAATTTAAAAAGTTAAAAGAATAAAAGTTCTACAAGACTATTATTTTAAAAGACATAGTGTGCGATTGTGAATGTATAAAATGGGTCAAGTCTCTCAGTAAAGATGTTTACTGAACAGTTAGAGGAAGGCTATTCCAAAGACGTATGCTCCTAGGAAAGAAAGAATTTTGATGATATTGTGTCCTCGAGTAGGGTATCAGGTAATTCAGATTTCTTGTTTGAGTAAGGTGTTGGTGGTAAAAAAAAAAACAATGTTGTTTTGGATTTTATACAAGAAGGTTACAGCACAGATGTTTCGACGCTGTTCGAGGGTTTGCCAATTTAGATCATTTATCATTTTTGAGACACTACTTGTATAGTCATTGTCATTAAAAAAAATATATCTTGCAGCTGATCTTTGGACTTGCTCTATCTTATAAAGTAAGTATTTCTGCCAAGGATGCCAAACTATGGAGCATTTTAATGATATTGTGTCCTCGAGTATCATTTTTGAGACACTACTTGTATAGTCATTGTCATTAAAAATATATCTAGCAGCTGATCTTTGGACTTGCTCTATCTTATAAATTAAGTATTTCTGCCAAGGATGCCAAACTATGGAGCAATATTCAACCTGAGGTCTAACATAGGTCTTATAATAGTTTCCTTTATCTTTTTATTTGGGGCTTTATCATTTCTTCTAATGAATCTAAGGGAGCTATTTGCTTTAGATGTGATATTGTTTATATGTTTGGTCCATGAAAGGTCTTGACTAATAGTGACTCCTAAGTATTTTGCTTCTTGAGTTGAGTTTAGTTGGTTGTATATGGAGGGTATAAGGAAATATTACAGGGTTTCTTTTTCTTGTTATCCTGAGAACTTCACATTTTATCAGGTCGTTGAACTCCATGGACCAGTCTTTTTCCCAATGTTTCTAAAGCAAAGAGTCATCTTGGAGGGTTTGGGCATCTTGTTTTAGATCTGATGGTTTAGGAAGACAACCAGTATCATCTGCAAAGAATCTAGCTTTACCTTTGACACAATCCGGAAGGTCGTTTATGTAAGAAAGGAAAAGACAGGACCTAATACCGAGCCTTGGGGGACACCTGAGAGGACTGGTGAGAATCCTGATTTTTGACCTTCAACTACAACATGCTGGGAGCGTGACTTAAGGAAAGGAAATGGCACCCAATTTGCTTAAACCTTTCATAACTATACCCAATCTTTCAATTTACTCACAAGTTTGTGATGGTTCACCTTCTGAAATCCTATGACTATGACATCAGTTTGTTTGGCCACTTTTCAAGATCTGTCATGAATTTTCCTGGGAGAAGCTTACTAGGCTGGGACTTACCCAACTCCGTTTGACCTGAAATATGTTGATAGGGCTAAGGATGTTGTGCTTATCATAAAAGGACATACTATTGGACACTAACATGTGCGCAAATCAATTTGGACGCTATAACATGTGAGGGAGATTGCGTCTAGATATTTGCTGTGTTTGCATTTTGGACCTTTTTGTAAAACTGGGGACAATTATGAATGCTTCAGTCTTTCTTCGGACAATTACCTGTTTTAAGTGAGATCTGGAAGAATGTGTGTCAGTATGGGAGTAAACCTCCTTGATGGAAGCTCTTTTAGTAACCTAGGGGATATTTGGTCAGGACCAGAAAGCTTTATTTGGGTTGAGGCCTTTAAAAAGTTCCTTCACACCATCTTCCAATATGAACTTTTGGCATAGATGGGTGGTTTTTTGGACATAAGCTTCTGTTTGCAGGCCTGGGATAAGCTGAGGGCTGCAGGCCGATAGATGACAGAAACTCAAACTGGGAGTTAAGGATATTTTGCTTTTGCACTGGATTTCAGTAAATGTTTGACCTTCTGATTTGAGGGGTGCCCACACCACAACTTTCAGTATTTTACTTTTAACATATTGGGCTAGAATGTTTGTTTTTCACATTCTTGGTCTTGGGTAAAAATGACTGAGTCTAGGTATTGCCAGTAATGCTTTCCAAGTTTCTCTTTGGATTTCACTTTTAAGTAGCTTTGAGTGCTTTATTGACCAAATCATTTGATGCGTGAATTTTGACCTTTTAATGTTGAATAAGTTTCCATCACGTTTCCTAATTTTGCAAAAAATGGACTTGTTTAACCATGGTAAATCTCGACGTGTTTTTAGTGCACTTTAGTTGGTATGTGAATAGAACAAAGGGGGTTAAGTTCGTCCTTGAAGGAAATCTAGGCTTTGTTGGGATCAGTGTGGTGTGTTTCACTGCTGTAGACAATTGTCATATTGACCGACGATTATAAGTAAAAAAAAAAAAATGGAAAAAAGTAAATTACGGTTAATCTTTCAATATATTAAATTGATTATTCTTAAACCCTTTACATGTGGATTTTACTTCATTATCTTTTTAATTATCAATCAATTGAATAATCATAAAATCTTAATTTGTAACCTTGGAATAATTCCCCTTCAGAATCTTTACTAAAACACGAATAGGAATAACAAATTAAATTAAATAAAATGTTTCAAAGTTGATTGTGTCATATTAATACCATAAAATGTACCTTTTTAATTCAATAATTGTACATATTTGTTGTTTTTATCTCATATAAATACATGTAAAATGAAACATGCTGTTGTTGTTTAGAATTGTATGTTGATGTTTAGTAATAATAAATAAATTTGAGAGTTGATCTGTGTTAATTAATTATTGTAACCAAACTGAGAGTGAAAAACATTCATTTTGGAAAAAAACATTTATTTGTTACGATATCAAATAAAACATCTACTCCAAAACCGGGAGAGACAAGACAATAAACGTGTGATACTATTCGTCGGTCTCTAGTAAATCCCGGTCAAAATAGTCCGGGAGAGACCGGGAACTACCGATAGGAGACCGGCGAATAGTACATCCTGTACATTTGACTGGTTCTCAATTTTTTCTTTTATTTCGACAGTTTTTAAAATAAATACGTGTACCTTTCATTATTGTCCTTAGCAACGTTAGCATATATTTCGCGAAATTTATTCTGATCAGGTTTGTGAATTTCTGCCACAATTTCAAATTGATTAATGCTGATTTGCAGGTTAATATTTATGAAGAAATATTCTGTTTCTGTTCGGAAGTTACTTTCTTGGAATAGTAGATACGTTATTTTGTCGATTACAACTTTCAACTGTTCAAGCTCTAAGACTTTGGCTTTGCATATTCTTTTTTTCATTTTTTACGGGGAAAAAATTTATGTCATATATCCCAGCCCTTTAGGTTTTTTCTGGTTTCGCTAACAAAAAATTTAAATTTTTTGGTAAACCTTATCTGAAATGCATTTTTAAAATTTTAATTTGTTTCAAAAAAAGAAAAATTTCTTCCTCTTTTTAAAAACCAACATAATTTTTTGCAAAAAGCTGTTGAGGTTTTCATTCTTATTTGGACCCGAGCAGCAATTGACCTTTCGGTTATTTTCCCGGTTCAGTTTAGGCAGTTTCGGACCCCATTTTGGGGGATCTTCCAAAAACATTTTCAAAAAAACCTTTCCCAATGGTTACTAATTTCAGTAATTGGGGGTGATGTGTTTCAGAAAATATTCTTTGGTTTGTAAGAGCCATTGGGCCATTAATTTCAAAGAAAGACCAAAAAAGGGGCCACAATTTTACACATGGGTCAATTTAAAAGATGAAATAAGATTAAAAACATTTTAAATTCAGAATATATTTATTAAACAAGATGGTAACAATTGACCACAGAGCCTAACAAGATTTATAAAGCATTTAAAACCACTGATTGAGATTCAATGAATCTTAAAAATGTTAACAGGCAATCCAGTTTAATCAAAGGGAATAAATCAAATTAGACAACATACAAAAGGACTAGAAAAGTACACATTATATAATTATAATGTTCAGATCAATGTCACAGAGTGTGCTCAAAACTGATATATCTACATGTACAGTGTCTTTTTCTAGGGAATGAAAAACAGGGGTGAGTTTCCCCCCTCTATTTCAAAAAAGGGGGCGATTTTCAAAATCAAAGGGTGCCAATATAAACTGCCAATGTTAAATCGTCTTGCATTAAGTTTTACACTGAGCGTTCAACCGATGAATAATTAAAAAGATAATATTTATTTAAGGCAGCAGAAGTTGTCCCCCCCCTGAATTTTTAAACGAAAACAAATTATTACAGAACTGCCGCGATTGATTATAAAGGGATTGGCATACAAAATAATTGTAACTATCTTTCACGTCTAGATCGTAGCCAAGCTAGGAATTGCCTCATTTTTTCTTGATTATTTACAACACTAAAATGGCGCCCAACTGTCAGACCTAGCACACTAGTTCAATTCGATACGGAACATTCCGTTAATTTCCGTCAACTCACGTAACCAGTACCAATACGGTACTAAATTATTATAATTAGCTTACAGTTACCTCCCTTCGGTTTTCGGTGTAAATGTAAACAAAACAACCAATATAATGCGCGGATGGAAGTTTTACGGTTTTATTAACTTTTTTTTATAGATGCGCGATTTTTCACGCACATGATTTTGAATTGTGCGCGATCTGTTAAATACTAGCGTGAATCGCGCAACTCGCGCGTCCTAGAATAGACACTGCATGTACAAATAACTACATACATGACACTTTCATAACTGAACCTTCTGCCATTTTTTCCAAAGTAGAGCTCAACAAGGAAAGGTTATATTCGAATTGCTTGGTGTACTTGTAATATAATAGGAGCAAGGAAATAACTGCTCCACCACCTTTGTCCCCAGGTGCTGGCCAGGGAGGAAAGCTCTGACAGGGTTCACCAGTAGCAACAGCATACACACTGCCATCTTCGTCTAGCACAGTCCTGAAAAAACCCTGCTAACACTCTGGTTTAGGTTCAAAGAAGGGGGCATCATTGTTCCATCTGCTGACCCACAGAACATTACAGTAAGACGCTGTTTACTGTGACCACCAGACAAATGAGGCACTTGAGTTGGGTGTTCTGCTCTTGTTGGGCCAATGACTTTGCCGGATGTAACTTCCCATACTGAACCCTGTTTCATCAGCATTCCATATGCGGGTTGGCTTATCAATTAATCCTTTCAATGACAAAAACTCTCTAAATGAACTGTAACCATTCGTCTGTCTTCTCTTTTGTAAATTTAGCTCTAACAAGTTTCCAGTGGGGGTTTCAGTTCTCAATTTCACGATGTTGAACTATTACGCCTCCATGAATGCATAGTAAACCAGTCATATCCAGGCCTATTATTTGCAAATGGTGTTTGTTTCTTTTCATTGGGTGACTAATTTCTGAACAAAGTCCAAAAAATCTCCCGGGTTTAACCCCATGCCTCGACTGCCCATTTTTCTTTCAGCCAATGTGCCATCGCCTCTTCTTCAGTTTTAGTGAAAATCGGCTGTGGACCATTTCGACTATCTAATTCAACCTCTCCAGAAAGACGCCTATGTAAATAACCATAAGATAAGCCATACAGTTCTTGATGCTTTCCTGACAGTTACCTCTTTTTTTTTCTATGGCCAGAATTGCTCTCTTGCACCGAAGTGATTTCCCAGGTGAGCCCCTGTTGTACTTCTTTTTAACTGCATTTGCTTTTTTTGACAGCTGGACTCTGATGTTTTGGTTTCCTCATTTCTGAAAATAAATTACATATTTAAGTGCAACTGATGTTATTTGAAATTGTTTTTTAATTTCACCATACAACAGGAAAATAAAAAATGAAACACATAAATATATTTTGCATGAATAACTCTGTCAGTCTGTTTAAATAAAGTTGTAATTTAAATACATTCAGATAACATTCTAACAAAAAAATCACATTTCAAACAAATAAATCCTCAATAAATCAGCTATAATTCAGGAAAAAATATCCCAATTATCAAAACAGTAACACATTTTAATTTACAACATTATTAAACATCAATTGTGACTTGAAATCAGCTGTTTTGACAGTCCAAAGTGCTTTTGAGAACACCCCCAGTATGGAAGGTCATGTGATCCGAAACTAGCCGAACGACTGCTTTCATTTCATGGCATGTGACTATTGTCAAGAACAGGTGATGGTATTTTCGCTTATTTTGATTGACAGAGGACATGTTTGTGAACATTTTGGTATATAAACATGATGTATTGGTTCAATATTTACCAATTTCACGAGGCCCTGTTCACAGAATCACCAATTTTTTTCCCGTACTTTTTCTTGAGTAAATGTGGAAGGTCACTTGTCATCAGTAAAAAAATCATGTCATGAAAATCGCTTTTGGTAAATAAATAACCGACAATTTCTCCAGAAAAGACCATTCTTTCAAAATCAAACAACCATTTCAAGAAATATTTACCACATGTTTCACAATTTTATTAGTTTACTGACAGTGGTCCGGAACTAACTAAGATCCGGAACACCCTAAACGACTGTATCGAATTTGACCAATGTAAGAAATAGATTCAAATCCACGGTATACGTCTACATATAGCATGTATATTGACCTTCATTTACAATCTTTTCATGTTCTCATTTTAACATCTAAATGATTTATCCAAGGGTGGCCATCTTTCGTTACCCCTCATTGTTTTCGTTGACAGTGCTAGTTTGATACACTATATAAGTATATTCTTAATGAAAAGAAAGTTAAATAAAAAACAATTAGAAATATAGATATATAGATTTCTATACCTGCGGGTGAAATTTTCAGTGTTAAATCTAGTTGGGCACGGCTATTTTCAATGTAACTCAATGATAATAGTTGAAGTGTTCCAATAACGGAACAATAGCAACTTCTCGGCTTAATGATAAACGTTGATATAAACTGGAAAATGTGAACTAGAAAATGAACAACTTCCCCAGTCATAGGCTTTGCCTAATTTCATATTAATAAAAAGAACAGAAATAGTGTTGACTGTAGAATATAGGGACAATCGAATTTTGGGCACCCGATGATATATTTGATTGATAGTTCTACATGCACAGCCAAAACCATATTAATTGCCAAATGACCAACTTAACTGTAATGCTTCAGTCATTTGTTATTCCTATCTGTCCCAGGACCTTTCAAGGTGAAGCTCAGGAGATAGCAGAAAAAATGAATCAAGTGTTTGTGGTCTGTTTATCAGACTCTCCTCACAATGATTGGCTAAAACATTGGGTGGTTTTGGTGGAGAAACAATTGTAATTTACCAACTCATAATGTAACGCCATTGGTATAGAATGCAATTTACTGATACAAGCTCATAGTGCTTGTACAAAATCAAAAGATGGTGGCCAATTTGTATAGGATCAAGTGGAGGTTGTTGAAGAGAATGTGGGTCCCTGAATTGCATCAATAGCCCCTGATATGAAGCAGGTAGACAAAAAATGTTTAAGCTGTTAATAGTAACTTCCTCTCTATTTTTATGTACCGGTAGAGTGTATTAATTCCAAGCATTGCAGTACTAAACATTGGAAAAAATTCCAATATCAGTGTAATAGCATTTCAAACCTGTCCCCTAAGGGGTTCGTTTACCAGGATGGTTTAGGGTTGGGTCCAAATGTCAAGGTCTGTGCTGTTTCCTTTAAAGTTAACAAAGAGGGTGAATTTTTTTAAATGTTTAGAATTTGGAAATACCAAATCAAGCCGGTACTGGGGGTGTGAGGAAGTTTTCATTTTTTTTTCCCTTGTTTTACAGATTCAATCAAACAAAGTCTGCCCCTTTTTTTGTAAAGGGTTTTCGTTTTTTAAAGCCCCCGAGGGGGGGCAAATTTTTCCCGAAAAGTTTTTCATTAATGGGCCCTTTCATAAAAGGGAATAAGTTAAATTCAATATGAATTTTGATTTTTTGGATTAGGAAAGGGAAAATTAGAAAAATAACCCCATGTTTTTCAATTTTTTTTAATTTTGATTTTAATTTATATTAAAGATTATTATTTTCTTTTGTAATATATATAATACTATAATGTAAAAGATTACAGAAGCTGATATTACATATGAAAAGAAATTGCATCAAAATTGTCCAGCAGGATTTTCATTTTTATCTGAGGCAACAGAAGTGGAAACTAAATCAACTGATTTGGCTCGTGGTCAATGTGTATATTTTGATACACACATAACAGGCTAAAAATACAACAGATTTTAACAGCATTGACCAATGATCGCCAATCTGTTAATATATAAAGAAAACCTTGGTCCAGTGGCCAACATTTAACCCTGTTTGGACCTTTTATTCAATACCATTTTTGTTCATGTCCCAAAGTCACTGACAGTAATAGAACTGATACCAATAGAGTGTTGAATCATAGTCACCCAAAAGAATATTTTTACTGAAGACAAAGGTGTTACTTTTTTTTACTTTTGAATGACTAATATTCTGTTTTCCCTTTTCCACAGGGTTTTAATCAAGGATATCAACTTATTTACATGATTACACCAATAAACTAGAAATGGCTGATTCACCAACAAGATCCAATGTGGGCTCACCAGATGCCTCTATAGTTTCAGGCAAAAAATCTAGTAAGTTTAATAATTATGATTATCTTTCTTAAGTTGACTGCAAAATGGTTGTATTTCCTCTTCCATTACAGCATAAGACTACAGCAATTTTGTGACAGTAAAGTCTGTTAAATTTATTCTAGCATCAACTCACTTGATAACCAGTGAAAAGTTTCGCTTGTTTTGAATTAACATTTTTTTTCTCATTTATTTTAGGGCGTAAATTATACTTTTTAAATATTTTACAATCTCATTAGGTAAGAAGTTTGATTTACAATTTATAAAGCAATGTTTACCTGATAATTGATATTGTGCTTGGTAAATGTCACAAAAGTGAAAATAATTAAGCAATTTCTATACTATATTTATATTATAGAAATTTTATTTATATTTTGGTCCTTAAGATACAATTTTATTATTATAATTTTTTTTGGGATAAATTATACATAAGCTATTGTCTAGTATCTACTATTTGTATTTCAGGGCAAGATAATCAATCAAGACAATCTGGAAGAGTTACCTTTCCTAATTCTGCCAAGTCAAGCTCCAATCATTCAGAACTTTCAGGTAGGTAACATAGATTGCTATCTTTGTGTAATTAATCATATATATACAGAAAACTTCAAAGTCTACAATGACTATTTATTTACACTTTTTTTTATATAAAAAAGGTCAGTGTCATCAAAGGGGCGTCCGTGGCCGAGTGGTTAAGGTCGTTGACTTCAAACCACTTGCCCCTCACCGCTGTTGGTTCGAATCCCAACAGGGACTTTGGATTCTTTCATGTGAGGAAGCTATCCTGCTAGCTTAAGGAACGTCGGTGGTTCTACTCAGGTGCCCGTTCGTGCCTGAAATAATGCATGGAAGGGCACCTGAGGTCTTCCTCCACCAGTAAAGCTGGAATGTCGCAATATGACCTATACTGTGTCGATGTGACGTAAAACCCAAAACAAACAAACAGTGTCATCATACTGAACAAAATTGTTTTTAATAATAGAATAATGTTTGGTAATTTACCTGTACAGTACTTTAGAGCAAGAATAACATAGAATTGTTCCATTTCCTTATGTTTACGAAATGAACTTTAGGTCAGCTATTACCTTAGATAATCTAGCTTTGTCTTTAAGAGTCTAAACATTTAAATCCAAATGATATACACAACAATACCCACCATGTTTATCTTGTCAGTGACATAGCTTGTTGATTGTGATTTTTACATGAGGATATCTAGATATATGCTCTGGGTGTATACAATGCAGGCTCAAATGATTTAAATGAATATTCTTGATACAATATATCTTGACTAACACTAAGCAACAAGTAATAAACACTGGCAAGAACATGAAAAAAATAAAGAATTCATTGTATTTTGAAAACACATAAATATAATAATGTTATAACTGTAACAATTTTTACCATAAAACCAGTAACACAGTAAATTATTTAAAGAGAGTCATGAAAACGCTACCAGTAATAAAAAAAAGGTTTTATAACTAATGATAAAGAAATTGTCATTAGTTTAAAAAACTTACTTTATATAAATACTGACAGATTGAACCTGGAATATGTTTTATTTCATTGAGAGATAAAGAGAGAGTAATTATTAATATGTTACTTGTGACTTTTTCAGATGATACAATGCCTGCAGGAAATCCATTTAAGATGCCACCTGATAGTGATATATTTCTGATGAGGGATAAAGAACGTCAGCGAAAGAAACAGGTAAATGTGTACTTAACATTTAAGCTTCTTTATTGAATATTCCAACTTTTTTTTTTTAAATATACAAATATGGTTTTTCTAGTCTTAGACAATGTTAATTTTATTTAGTACATCATGTACATATAAAGTTATATTTATCAGCTAAAAAGTCCATATCAGGTTGAGTAATAAAATCTTTAAAATAATCTATCACCACATATAATGCAGATCAACATTTACTCAGTTTCTTTTCTTTTTCTAGAAATTAATCTGTGAACACAACTTCTTTGTTAAATTTTCAAAAGAATTTGTTTGGATGGCCATTGTTATATTCCTTGATAAATATAACTATGGCAATAACAAGATAGGTTTTTTAATTTTTTCTTACTGGAAGATCCCAACAGCGAGTGGATTCTTTCATGTGACTGCGCTATCCATCTAGGTTACAGAACATCGGTGGTTCTACTCAAGTGCCTGTTTGTGGCTGAAATAATGCACAGGAGGGCACCTGAGGTCTTCCTTCACCAGTAAGCTGGTAAGACCTATACTGTGTGGGTGTGACGTAAAACCCAATCTAACAAACAGACAACTTTTGCAGAAGACTATTCTCTTATATGGACCTGTTTATTGTTTTATGATAGTTACATTTAAACATACAATAATGATTTTTTGTTGTTATTTCCAGGAACGTCTAAGGCAGCGAGATTTAAAAGTTCACGAAAAGACAACATATGCTTCCAAAGTAAATTTCAAAACAGCCCAAATGATTAAACCAACAGATTCTGATGAAGAGAAAGATGAAGAAGAAACAGATAAAGCTGTGGCTGTCAAAGATGACCCACAGTTTACTATAGCTGTCACAAGAGGTAGTTACTTCTTTTGTTAGAAGGCTTAAACCTTAATATGATCTTTGAATGTTTTATTATAATTAATGAAGGATTTTTTTAGCTGAACTAATCAAAGGATAAGGAGAGCTATTGTATGCACCCTGGCATCAACTGGGCTGTCACAGTTTTGTTAAGTTTTTGCTTGCATGTTGGTATCTCCAAAATCACTGAAGGGAAAAGCTTGAAACTTCACATGCTTGTTCTCTTTGATTATCTAACATGTTTCATCTACATTTATAATACCCCTATCATTTCTTTTAAATGTATGCTAAAAAGACCAGTGAAGTGTGCAGTAATTATTTTTTTACTTCTCATTTTCAACTGCTAAAAAATTAGGCAATGGATATTGTTGGTAATAACACACTGTTTTAAGGTACAAGTAGTTGAATTAAAATTAAAATACAGCACTGTTATAAGATGCATTAAGTCAGTTCTTTAACTATTTTGAATATATCTATTGATACACATATTGCGATTTGATTTTTTGCAGATCGCCATGTGGAAAAGGAATCTCTGGCTGAATACATTGCCAAGAAGAGAGAGATGTTTCTAGTCCAGGTAATTAAGTAACAATATGTGCATTTTTTTATATTTACAGAGAGGACTGGAAAATTTGACTTCTTCATGACATGAACATCAGTAACCAATCAGTGTAAATTTATTGTTTGACTTACAGACACATACCTACTTTTGTTTGTATTTTACCATTTCCTATTATGAGTTTGTGACTGACTAGGTGACACAGTTATGTAAGAATGTTGTCTGATATTCAAATTGTTTTTAGAAAGAAAAGAACAAGACACAATAGGGAGGGAAAAAGTAGACTATGCTAGGAAAGTCTAGGGGATTCTTTCAGAAGAAAATAATATTCTATGAGGAAACCAGAATAAAGGGACTTCTGAAGCAGTGCATTCCTTGTTGTCAAAAGTGTTTATCACAAGTTTGTTTTTTTTACAAGGATAGTATAATGATATGTCCAGTGTGTTTACTGCAAGTTGTTTTTACTTTGTTGGTGCTTGATATTGACTTTAATGCTTTTAGTAGGTATTTTTCTTGTAATTCAGTATTCACTTGGAAATTTTGTGTATTTCAGCATTCACTTGGTAATTTTGTGTATTTCAGTATTCAGCTTAATTTTGTGTATTTCAGTATTAACTTGTAATTTTGTGTATTTCAGTATTCACTTGGTGTGAAGCGAGATGAAACTCAGAAGCTTGAGGAGATAGCTCAGGCTGAGGAGAGAAAACTTGAACTTGCTGAACAATATTTGGAAGAGGATGCTGCCATGTTTGACGAGTTTTTGAAAGAAAATGATTCTAATTCTGCAGAGGCAATGAGAATGTAAATACATATGTATTAGCTTATAATCCTTCTTGAAGTCGAACGGTTATTTTAGATTTTTGGGTTTCAGTACAAAATTACTATATTTTCTGCATTCAAATAAAATTTATAGTTTTTTTGCATGGAAGTGTCAAACATTTAAAATATCATGACTATGATACAGTTTTGAGTACTGTATTTCATAAAATTGTTTTGAAATTTTTTTGCAGATTATTACTTTATGGAATGGGCTTTTTGATTTGAGATCTGTAAGTATTCTATTTTATGATGAAATGTATAATGGTTCAAACTTGGGGACTATGTGAGGAGTACAAAATGCTATTTTCTTTTGCTTAATGATAGTAAAGCTTATACAATTAGATATGTAATGAATAATATTCATGTGGTTTCTTTTTTTTTCCACAATAAATTAGAGCTGAAACAGAGACAAAAGCTAAGCTTGAGAAAGTAGCCGAAATTAAAAAAATCAATGCCAATATGATGGCCATAAAGTCAGAAATCTCTAAATATGAAGACACCCTCAAAGAGTATCAGATGTACAGGACTTTCTTAGAAAATTTAACTCCACAGGTATGTTTACAATGAAATATTGAAGGTTCATGTAAAGATATTTATATATTTTCTATAGATATGATTCTGTTAAGTTTTGTACATATATCATTTGATTATGACTGTAAAGTTTTAAATCTTTATTCATATGCTAATCTCCGTGTAATACATGCTAATCTCCATGTAATACATGTGAATCTACAAATATACCTAAGTTATGGCTGTAAAGGAATGATATCTTTGTAGTTTCAGCTTTCATTTTATAGACCCTTTCATTTAAGACCGTATTCAAGTTGTCGCCCTTGGATGACGTCATTGGGGGATTCGGTGGACAATGCCGATACGATTTAGTACAATAATATAAGTACAATAATAGAGGGATATAAAGATCTTAATCCTTTCTCTTGTAAGATTGAGATTGCCAAAATTTTGTGTAATTGAATAAGATATTACATAAAAAGGATGGTGAAATGATAATAAGGTTAACGATTTGTTTTAATAGTAGACTAGATATTGCTGGGCAACTGATCATGATTACCATGTTCGTTCAGGTAGTTTCGAAAAACGGCTGCGAAATAATTAATTGCAAGATACTGGTTTATTAAAAATCATTTTTATTTAAGCATTACAAAGGAAAAGAAAAACAACAATATAAATCTATGTAATTTCAAAAAAAATGTAAAGGCATAAAAAGTAAAAATTCTTTTGAATGTACATGACAGTATACTATTTGTGTCGGCAAAAAATGCACTCTCAAAAAATCGTACATCACACCAATAATTAAGCTGGTAAAGTAATATTTTCAACTTGATACATTTTAAGTCATACTCTGCTTATTAAATATTTAAAAAAATCACAAAAAAACAAAAACAAGTTGTGCCAGTTGGTAGGACTGTGGATTGAGTATCAAATCAGTAAGGCATGACCAATAAAGCCCCTAGGATGATCCATAACAAAATTCGGACCATAAATATTTTGACAACTAACAAAAGTGACGTAATCTGATGTAATGTTATAACTCTAAAAAATGCACCCTGGTGATTTATGATATCACAGCCAAGTGCCGCTTGTATATACAACATAAGCACCCTGTTAATTAATATGTTACGGCCCAGTGGCGCTTATATATACACATCTATTTATCTATGAAATAAGTTACTGGAAAGGTCTTTAATAGATTTTTAATATCAAAATTATCTTATTATCGTCTGTTGCGAATCTAAAATTATAAAAGTCAATGCCACATGGTTTTCGTTCTTTCCGGAATATTTATAAAATTATATCCTTCACTGGTTCTTTGAAATATTTTTTATACGGCATAATGAAAAAGAATCAGTAAGTATTGACAGAATGCATTCTGTTATTGTTCTATTAAAGCTTGAAAAACAATCATTAAAAGACATTGGCAATCTTATTTTCATGTTTGTCACAAATACGCCGGAATTTTCTAAATGACAGAAAATAACACAGAAAACTAGAAAATGGCCATTTAAATTTATAATAGGCAATTTCAGTGTGTATGGGTGTTTATAAAATATTAAAATTTGATTTAGTTACTAGCTTTTTATCCTGGCATTAGAGAAAATCTAGATCTAATAAATATATTTACTTTGAAATTTCGATGTTTCACTCTGTAGCGAAAATTAATCTCAATCTTTGTTTTTGTATTCTTTTCTATTGTCTTGATATTGAACTTATGTATGCATGCGTAAATTTTTACATGTTATAATCATAATTGAACGGTCAGTATTTAAACGCATTTAACTTTTCAATAAGCTAACATTCTTTGCGACCTGCATAGTTTTATCCCCCATTTACGTCACATCCGGTAAGGGAAGTAACTCTTCCCTGACTGTTATCGCTTAAATGAAAGGGTCTATAGGCATTATAACTGTTCTGTACACAGCTTTTCCGTGAAGTAAATGTTTTTAAAGACTTATTTATGCATATGCCTACCAAAGATTCATTATGTTTTTGTTTTTAAAATGTACATATTAGATAAAACTGTTCTTTTCTAAATATCATTAAGTATGCATCTATAAAAGCAACATTATAATATAATGGTTTTTTTTCTTTTCTTTTTAACTGTTTATGAAATGGTTGAGGCTGTTATTACAGGAAATAAAGAAAGAGATAGATGAAAGACGCACAAAGAAACGATCAGAAAGAAGAGCAGAACGTGAGAAAATGAAAGCTGCTCAAAGGACTACCTCGGATCTTGTACCAGAAAAAACTGAAACAAAGACCAAAAAACGAAAAGGACTCAGTGACGCTGCTAAAAAAGGATCAGCAACAAAAAGGTTTAGACATCTAAATTGTTGAATTTTTGTTTTACAAAATACCCCCAGGATGGTTCAATATTACTGTATAGATAAATCACTGATGATTTGTAAGCAAGTATTAATGTAAAAGCAAAAAATTAAATTGAAAGTAATTTGTGCATATGTAGAGAATAATGAAGAGAGGAGCAAAAAGGATAGTCCTAAATATAACAGCTAGAAAAAAGGATAGTCCTAAATATAACAGCTAGAAAATGCCAAGTAACATGTAAATTAGTAATTATGCTTATTTTAAATCATGAAAGAAAAATAAAGAACAAATCAAGGTGAATAAATGAAAAAAATGAAAAACTGATTTGATAGCATTTTGAAGCAAGTCATTAGTATTTTTTTTAATTTCATAAATGATAAATATAAATGAACAATTTACATTATTTCAGAACTGCAGAACAAGAAAGTACTGTATCCACGGTAACTGAATCTGATGATGATAGTGATGAGGTATGTTGTAGAAATTCTCTTGTCTTAAATCTATGTATAATAACTCTCACATATTTACAGACATACATGTATCTCACTCATAATCATAACCATCTTACTACTAAATAAAAATCATTCATTGTATTATGTTTTTCAACAAATGAGTTGTCAAGCTGATCTGTTTGGTTAGAAGATTGTTAGGTCTATAAATATAGAAGCTGGAGGCTCAGAATTTCTATTTCAGATTGAGACAAAAATATTTTTAATGCTATTCAAAAGCTGCATAGACATGAATTAAATCTGTTATCAGACACTTGCTGATTTAAAAACTTATAGACACAGTAGTGCTCAATATTGTTTTATAATGCATAATATTTTTTAACTGAAATTAAATTGCAATCTTTCTCGCATGATTGATTGATTATTTGATTGATTATTTGATTGATTGATTGATTGATTGATTAGAGTGATATGGACAGTGAAGGTACAGAGAGCAATAGTGATGATGATGATTATTCTGATTTGGTTTGTTGAAGTGTTCACAACATTAAGTAGATTTTGTATATGATATTCATGTATTGTATCACAAGATTTTATCTCAATTGTTTTTAGAACACCAGCCTAATACAGGCTAGTTCATAAGCTACATCACAATCTATTTAAATATATGTACCTTTTCACTACCCTGAACTGTGTCTTATTAGCTTTCCGTTAAGTTATAAAACATCTTAAAGAGAGGAAACTGAATAAAATTATCAAATATCTATCATTTAAATGATGCATCATGCTTAAAACAACATCATTGAGTAGGTGTTAAATGATTTATGGGAGAAACTTATAGATAATCTTCAAATATAATTTAAATTTTGTCTCAGATATATCATGTGGTTATTAGTATGAATTATTTATACTAATTTATAATATTCGGTTAAGCTACATAAAATATCAAATGCACCAAGGCCAGGCATTAGGCAAGTGGATTAAGATGAAAGCCTTTCACTGTAAATCGGGATCTTTGGGTAAATAACTGTTTAAACCTGTTCATATAAACTTATAAAGTTAATCAACTGTTTCATTGTACTCTTGATTTATTCTGTCAACTACTTTGTTGTAAATTGGAAATTCACTCTTGACAGACAAACATTCACTATTTGTTTTTTAATTCTGAAAAAATCATTAAAAATATAATGATTGTCCTTTTTGATTATTTTAGAAAATTAATGTAATACATAATAAACTTCTAAATAATTAAGTGGTCAATTTCCATGTTATATTAAGATCAAAGAAGAATTTATATGAGCTGGAACAGCCGAATACTCTTCATGTTCATTATACCATTTTCATGGTCGTTTCACCATTTTCATGGTCATTTCACGATTTTCATGGTCATTTCACCATTTTCATGGTCATTTCACCATTTTCATGGTCATTTCACCCTGTTCATGGTAAATTTCACCATTTTCATGGTCATTTCACCATGTTCATGGTCATAATGAAATTCACCATTTTCATGGTCATTTCACCCTGTTCATGGTAAATTTCACGATTTTCATGGTCAATTCACCATGTTCATGGTCATAATGAAATTCACCATTTTCATGGTCATTTCACCCTGTTCATGGTAAATTTCATGATGTTCATGGTCATTTCACCATTTTCATGGTCATTTCACAATATTTGTGATCACTTCACCATTTTTAGCTCGACTATTCGATAAGAATAAGTAGAGCTATTGTAGTCACCCGAGCGTCGGCGTCGGGGTAACCACTTGTGTTAAAGTTTTTGTAATAGTTTAAATATTTTCATAATTAACTTCTAAATAATTAAGTGGTCAATTTCCATGTTATATTAAGATCAAAGAAGAATTTTTATGAGCTGGAACAACCGAATACTCTTCATGTTCATTATACCATTTTCATGGTCGTTTCACCATTTTCATGGTCATTTCACCATTTTCATGGTCATTTCACCATTTTCATGGTCATTTCACCATTTTCATGGTCATTTCACCCTGTTCATGGTAAATTTCACCATTTTCATGGTCATTTCACCCTGTTCATGGTAAATTTCATGATGCTTATGGTCATTTCACCATTTTCATGGTCATTTCACAATATTTGTGATCACTTCACCATTTTTAGCTCGACTATTCGATAAGAATAAGTAGAGCTTTTGTAGTCACCCGAGCGTCGGCGTCAGCGTTGGCGTAACCACTTATGTTAAAGTTTTTGTAATAGTTTAAATATTTTCATAATAAACTTCTAAATAATTAAGTGGTCAATTTCCATGTTATATTAAGATCAAAGAAGAATTTATATGAGCTGGAACAACCGAATACTCTTCATGTTCATTATACCATTTTCATGGTCGTTTCACCATTTTCATGGTCATTTCACCATTTTCATGGTCATTTCACCATTTTCATGGTCGTTTCACTATTTTCATGGTCATTTAACCATTTTCATGGTCATTTCACCCTGTTCCTGGTCATTTCACCATTTTCATGGTCATTTCACCATTTTCATGGTCATTTCACCATTTTCATGGTCATTTCACCATTTTCATGGTCATTTCACCCTGTTCATGGTAAATTTCATGATGTTCATGGTCATTTCACGATTTTCATGGTCAATTCACCATGTTCATGGTCATAATGAAATTCACCATTTTCATGGTCATTTCACCCTGTTCATGGTAAATTTCATGATGTTCATGGTCATTTCACCATTTTCATGGTCATTTCACAATAACTGTGATCACTTCACCATTTTTAGCTCGACTATTCGATTAGAATAAGTAGAGCTATTGTAGTCACCCGAGCGTCGGCGTCGGCGTAACCACTTATGTTAAAGTTTTTGTAATAGTTTAAATATTTTCATAATAAACTTCTAAATAATTAAGTGGTCAATTTCCATGTTATATTAAGATCAAAGAAGAATTTGTATGAGCTGGAACAACCGAAAACTTTTCATGTTCATTATACCATTTTCATGGTCGTTTCACCATTTTCATGGTCATTTCACCATTTTCATGGTCATTTCACCCTGTTCATGGTAAATTTCATGATGTTCATGGTCATTTCACGATTTTCATGGTCAATTCACCCTGTTCATGGTAAATTTCATGATGTTCATGGTCATTTCATGATTTTCATGGTCAATTCACCATGTTCATGGTCATAATGAAATTCACCATTTTCATGGTCATTTCACCCTGTTCATGGTAAATTTCATGATGTTTATGGTCATTTCACCATTTTCATGGTCATTTCACAATATTTGTGATCACTTCACCATTTTTAGCTCGACTATTCGATAAGAATAAGTAGAGCTTTTGTAGTCACCCGAGCGTCGGCGTCGGCGTTGGCGTAACCACTTATGTTAAAGTTTTTGTAATAGTTTAAATATTTTCATAATAAACTTCTAAATAATTAAGTGGTCAATTTCCATGTTATATTAAGATCAAAGAAGAATTTATATGAGCTGGAACAACCAAATATTCTTCATGTTCATTATACCATTTTCATGGTCGTTTCACCATTTTCATGGTCATTTCACCATTTTCATGGCCATTTCACCATTTTCATGGTCGTTTCACCATTTTCATGGTCATTTCACCCTGTTCCTGGTCATTTCACCATTTTCATGGTCATTTCACCATTTTCATGGTCATTTCACCATTTTCATGGTCATTTCACCCTGTTCATTGTAAATTTCATGATGTTCATGGTCATTTCACGATTTTCATGGTCAATTCACCATGTTCATGGTCATAATGAAATTCACCATTTTCATGGTCATTTCACCCTGTTCATGGTAAATTTCATGATGTTCATGGTCATTTCACCATTTTCATGGTCATTTCACAATATTTGTGATCACTTCACCATTTTTAGCTCGACTATTCGATAAGAATAAGTAGAGCTATTGTAGTCACCCGAGCGTCGGCGTCAGCGTTGGCGTCGGCGTAACCACGTATGTTAAAGTTTTTGTAATAGTTTAAATATTTGACATATGGCTTTGAAACTTTGCACACTTGTTCACCATCATTACCTTAACCTGTAAACAGGAGGAGGTAACTGTATCAAGCATTTTGACAGAATTATGCCCCTTTTTCGACTTAGAATTTACGTTAAAATTTTTGTAATAGTTCCAATATTTTCAAAGTCCATTGACCTATGGCTTTGAAACTTTGCACACTTGTTCACCATCATTACCCCAAACCTGTAAACAGGAGGAGGTAACTGTATCAAGCATTTTTTTTACAATCAAGCACTAAGAATAGTCGAGCGTTGCTGTCCTACCGACAGCTCTTGTCATAATGAGTATCACATATGGAGAATGAGTAAGTCAGTGTTGTTTATGACACACTTAAACCCTTACATGTATACACTAGACAAGTACTATAACTTAAACTTGTAACAAGTACTAGACTTAAGGTTTTTGTATAACTCATGTCAGAATTTGAAGTGGAGAAAAACATATAAATGCTTTACTGCCAATTGATTTTATTTCCTATTACTGTCATTATCTTAATTTGCTGCCAACACAAACTTTTAAACATTTTTATTAATTTTGATTTATTTAGGGGGATACATTAACATTGTCAAAAATGTTTTTACCAAGATATACATTGTCTGAGAGCTTAAGAAAGGTTTTCTTTTACCCATGTTAACTTAATTATAGTTCTATTTTGAATGTTTCCAATGTTATTGTTTTTTTGTACCTAATTCAAGGGCTTTCTTAAAGCTTTTGAAAACTTGTTTTTCTGTACGCCCGATGACCTTCAGGATGAATTATATGGTATAGCATTGTCCGTCTGCACTACAAAATATGAATAGGGGCCATTCAATTGTAAACAGAACAAAAGAGAACAATAGAGCCCATTCCATAACAATAGATTAAGGGGTCAATGGCCCTCTTTTAAACAAAAGAAAATAACAAAAGAAAATTCAAAAGAAAAGAAATAGTGCTTTACCACATTTTGGTTGCTTGTTCGTAGGTATTTGTTGTCCGCTGCAATCAACTCATTATTAATTGAGTTTATAATGCTCCAATCTTTACAGTTTTTTAAGTAAATTATCAATTTTCACAGAAAAAACTCTTGAGGGATTTTAGTGATTGTCTTTATATTTGACATGTAAGGATGTTATATTAAAATACATATAAGGTGCAATCAACTTATTATTAATAGAGTAATGTCCCAAATTAAAGCATTTTTTAAGGTGAAATTTTTGCTTTCAACTTTTGAAGGATTTTAATGTTTCTGTTTATATTTGGCATGCAGGTATGTTATATGTTAAGGCACATTTTATCATCAAGTGTGTATCATACCCCTGTCTCAGGGGAGCTTATGTTTATTAATGAGCAGCGTCATGACAATACCAACATAATGGGATTGCTACCAGCATGCATCCAGACCATCCTGCGTATCTGCGCAGTCTGATCAGGATCCATGCTGTTCGCTTACAAACCCTATTTCAAGTAGAGAAACTGATAGCTAACAGCATGGATCCTGATCAGACTGCGAGGATGTGCAGGCTGGTCTGATTCCATGCTGGTCCCAAACACATTACATTGGTTTTGTCATCAGACGCGGCTAATTTTTATTTTCACTGCACATTACCTTTTCAAATTTTTCTGTTAATTCATTATTTTTTATGAAATTAATCATGTTTTCCAAATGCATAAATTATAGTATAATGATTTTAAAATTGCTCAAAAAAGTCCCTTATTTTTTGGCCTCATTTTATTAAAAAAAATATACATTGAAATCTTTTGTGTAAGTAGTTTTGTATTGTTTTGTTTATGACATCACAAAGTAAGCATTTCTTAGTCCTCCAAATGTCTGCTTAAATATTTCTGAAAATTTTTTTTACGACATATAATGAAATTTTAATGGTTTGAAAAATGCTCAAACTAGCTTTTGTAGTTTTAAAGAATATGAAAAACATGCTTAAATATAAGCAACACATGTTTGTCTAGATTTTACTTTACAAATTTTGTGATCTCAAATAAAATGGAATTTTGAAGCTTATGAAAATTCTATTTATTATTTATAAACAATAAATTAAAAGATTGGGAGGGGAGAACAACACATCAAAACACCAGGTCGGTTTCTATATTTTACCAGTTTCGGGTACTATATACCCTTCATCAGGTTATCCTTATTATTTATAAAGATGAGAAAGTCAGAGCATCTTTAGAGCATTTCAATGTTTCAGATTTTATTTTTTATTGAATCATGTAATTTTTTCACTTATTTATGAATTTTGTTTTACAGGATTTGGAGCTATATTTCACAGATCCCCAACAATTGTTGGATATTTTTGCTGAGTTAGAGGAACAAAATCTTTCGCTTATTCAAAATAGTCAGGAGACCGAAGAAGCTTTAGAAGAAATGAAACAGAATATAAAATTGACAAAGCAAAAAATGTAAGTTTTATTTGAAATAGACTATAAAATAGAAATTAAGACTTTCGTTAAGTAATTTGAATTTAGATGTGTAATATTTATTTGCATGTGTAATAACATGCTGATAACAGGCAAAGGGTATAAGGCAATGTCTTTGTGTATGTTCATGTTGCACATGATGTTGCTATCTTTATTGTTTAAATAGCATGAAAGTTATGTGAAAAGTCAATTACCCTCAACAGAATATTTATAATTTTAACAGCTATATATCAACTGTTATGGTTATTTGATATTTCAATTTCAGGGAGAAAGAAACATCTATATTAAAAGAACAGATAGATAAATTAAATACACAGATCAGAAAAGAAGAGAAAAGAGCAGAGGAACTTAAAATCAAAGCAAAGTATGTTATTTAGTTTAAACAATATTTTATTTATAATCTACACATTTACATAATAAAGTACGTAACATAAAATTTACGGATTGAGAAGGAATTTCAAATAAATGGTAACAAAATATAAATATCTAAACTAAACTATACATATCATATCGACTTGTTTATACATACCATATTTATGACAAGTATTCATGAACTAAATTTAAGATACATTACTGTTAGATTAGAGGTATAAGCACGATTATGAAATCATTTTTACAGGGATATATTGCTTATTTTAGTGTTTGGTCTATTAAACTAATATGTTGAGAAAATTTAATGATTAAAACATGCGCATTGAAGGAGAAGTAATTAGAGAAAAGAAGTAGAGATAGGAAACAAGAGAAAGAAAGAAAGTCACTTTACTACTATGAAGTTTTCAAACGGATATTATTATGTATCAAATCTTTTTGTTTCGAGCTCACATGAGCTAGCTCAGGATGAGCTTTTAGGATTGCTGAATGTCCGTCATCCGTCCACACTTGTTCGTTGACACTCTAGCGGTCACATTTTTGCCTCAATCATCATCAAACTTGTCAGGATGCTTGTCTAGGCAATAGCTCGGATGAGTTCGAACATGGGTCATCTCGGATGAAAAACTAGGTCACAGGAGCTAAAATTAGAAAAACTTTGTTAACACTCTAGCGGTCACATTTTTGCCTCAATCATCATCAAACTTGATCAGGATGTTTGCTTAGGTAATAGCTTGGATGAGTTCAAACATGGGTCATCTTGGATGAAAAATTAGGTCACAGGAGCTAAAGATAGGAAAACCTTGTTAACACTCTAGCGGTCACATTTTTGACTCAATTGTCATCAAACTTGGTCATGATGCTTGTCTAGGTCATTGCTTAGATGAGTTCGAACATGGGTCATCTCGGATAAAAAAACTAGGTCACAGGAGATAAAAAATAGAAAAATCTTGTTAACACTCTAGTGGCTACTGTTTTGGTCCAAATATCCTGGAAATGTATTATATGATATCTTCTTTCACCTACAATGTAGTGAACTGGAACTTTTTGGACATCTTCGTTTAGTCTTTTTTTGAAAATTGCAAGCAATGGAGCATTTCTTAGTTTGACAGGGAGATCGTTCCAGTCTTTAATCGAAGATGGTAAAAATGACTTTGAATAGAGTTAAGTTTGACAGAAAATATTTCTAGTGTTACTTGCATTTCGTAAGTTGTATACTGAAGTTTGTCCTACTGTGTTTGGAACTATGGAAGGTAGATATTGTGGAGATAGGTGATTGAACATTTTATATAGCAGAATTAGTTTGTGTTTATAGTGTCTTACTTTTAAGGGTTGAAAACAAGTGTCTTCATACAGATTTGAGAAAGAAACAAGTTTTGTTGTACCAGTTATAATTCTGCAGGCTTCAAGTTGGATTTTTATATGCACAAAAGAATTTCGGGCATATTATTTTATACCCCCTGGCGTCCGTCCGTTAGCAATTTGGTTTCCGGAGCATAACTTCAGTTCTATTTGGCCCACAATATTCAAACTTCACAGGATGATTGTCCATATTGGGTAGAAGACCCCTATTGATTTTGAGGTCACAAGGTCAAAGGTCAAGGTCACTATGACCTTAAAACTGAAAACAGTTTCCGGAGCTTTTACTAAGTCCCATTTGGCCCACAGTGTTCAAACTTCATAGGATGATTGTCCATATTTGGTAGAAGACCGTTATTGATTTTGGGGTCACAGGGTCAAAGGTCAAGGTCACTATGACCTTAAAACTGAAAACAGTTTCCAGAGCATAACAAAGTTCTATTTGGCCCACAGTGTTCAAACTTCATAGGATGATTGTCCATATTTGGTAGAAGACCCCTATTGATTTTGGGGTCACAAGGTCAAAGGTCAAGGTCACTATGACCTTAAAACTGAAAACAGTTTCCCGGAGTAGGCCTGAGTGAATAATTACAAAGCATTTGAACGAAAAACATGCATTATTATACAATAATGCACAAAGAATTAATATCTATTTCCATTCTAACTGGTCCAGAAAAAATATAATTATTATTATAAAGTTGGACTTTATGTTTGGTGGTTAAATTTGTTTTCACTTCAGTGTTTCCAATAGAAACGTTCTTTTAAGGCTGTTCCATTGGGTTGAAAAAACTGTCGTTAAATCTATCGTGTGTAGAAACATTTTGAGAATAACGAGTTTTGAAAACGTTGATAAAACTTTGTTTGATTATTTTATTTCACTCTATAATTTTTCAAGCGAAATGCAAATTATTAAAAGTGAAATAAATGTAAAACTTAACTCGTTTGCGACATTAAAATAGCGTACTTGATTGTTTTGCTTGTGCTGTTTGGCGCTACATTGTGACAGTCACGTAAACAATACTTTAAACGTCTGTGCAGTGTTAATGACTGAATTAAGATATTGGTGTTCGGATTCATTTTCTTAGTTAGACCATTTTCTTTCATTCTAGATAGTTTTCACAACAAAATTCGACAAAAAATTGTTTTTTATTTATCAGATTTTTCAAACAAAATGGCGCCCTCAATGTGAAAATACACAGGGAGATAATAAGAACTGCGAGTGCATTGTTGTAGAATAATGCACGCTTCTGGCCTTCTTTGTTTATATAGAAAAATTTCCAATAGTGTTAGAATTAATATTTTAACATTACTTTTTACTGTTGGCCTAATAACTTGTTTGAGGATTTTCCAATAATCAGATGTGTTTAGATTTTTTTTTTTAATTTTTCCGACAATTTCTTGGTATTTTCAGAGAGTAAGTGAGTTGTTTTGTTTCATAATGTTTTCAATTTATTCCAGTTATCTTCATTATTTGATTTTTTAGCTTTATCATGCGCTATTTTCCTTTTTCTTATACATTTTGTTATTTCGTTACGCATCCATGGAGGATCTGATTGTCTAATTGTTACTGTTTTGTTGGAGATGTGTTTTTTTGTTGTTTTATGTTTTTGTATTGTAGACAAGTGTGTTCAATGAATATGGTGAAATGACTGTGATAAAACTACATTGTGAATATAATTAAGGGAAATGGGATCAGCATAATTTGAAGGCAAAGTTCATAATAATAAAAACTAAAGAATTTTGTCATTATTTTTAAGTTTATAATATTTCATCTTCAATTTCATATGTAATGATGCAATTTGTTTATTTAGTCTTTCAAGATTTAATGGAACATAATTGAATCATTATGTATACAGAAAGTTGTATGCCTCTGATTTTATAGGGGCTACTATAGGGGCTACTATAGGGGCTACTATAGGGGCTACTATAGGGGCTTCTATAGGGGCTACTATAGGGGCTACTATAGGGGCTACTATAGGGGCTACTATAGGGGCTACTATAGGGGCTTCTATAGGGGCTACTATAGGGGCTACTATAGGGGCTTCTATAGGGGCTACTATAGGGGCTACTATAGGGGCTACTATAGGGGCTACTATAGGGGCTACTATAGGGGCTACTATAGGGGCTGCTATAGGGGCTTCTATTTTCTCATATAAAGAGTATTTGAAAGTACAATTGAAATAAGTATGTCAACTACTCGGGGAAACAATAATAAATTACTTTCTATTTCAATTCTATTTAAATTAATTAACCTCTAACATTTCGTGAGCTATTAAAATAATAAACCCCTGTTTATCAAGAACCCCCTGTTTATCAAGAAGTTTGCTGTTTGTTTTTTTAAATCACATTCTAATCTTCTTATTTCTTGTTATCTACCTGAAAACAGCGCAATGAGTAATTATTATGATTTAATTATACCTGTTGCTTCCTTAAAGATTAATCATACCTGAATAGTAACAGATTTAAAGTAATCATTTCTTACATTATGTTTTCCTCTTCCAGCAAACCTGAAATGTTGCCATATAATCTATACTGTGTTAGTGTCCAACTTTAATTGCCATCCAATGAAAACGCTGTATTTCTTAAAAATTATGTGCGTTAATTTTCATAGAAGAACGAAAGTCGGTACTATATCGAATTTCGATCATAGTCGACTTCTATTTTTCATAGTACTTCATAGAACGACATAGTGACATAATAAAGTGAGTGATTATGAGGCCAAATAAAGTTTGACACTAAATATGTTAGTATTCATCCGTAGCTGTGCTACAGAAATTAGAAACATTCTCCTGTCGCCATCACTCCCGTCGAAGTTTCTAATTTCTGTAGAACAGCACGGATGAACACTAACATATACTTGGTGTGACATAAAACCTTATCAAACAAACAAACTTATATTATGTTAATGTATGATTTGTTATGGATGTATATTTATTCTTGTAGAATGTTTTCCTATGGCGAGTTTAAACAAGAAGATCAGGAAAAGATGCTGGCTCAGCTAAACAAGAAAGTGGAGGAGGTGTATCGAAGCTGTATAGGGGACAATGAGGCAAACATTAGGTTAGTGGGCAAATCTATTTTTATTTACCCCTCCCACTTGACAAACACATTTAGCTGTTTGATAATGCAACAAACACATTTTATTTTTCTCCATGAAATATTGATGTAAAACTTTTATTTTTTTTGTTAAATATTTGAAGATGATATATTTAGATGATATTTTATGAATTTATCAAATTTGTATCATTATAAGAGATCAAAAACTGTTTTAATTAACAGAGCATATAGTATATACATGTATTATACTGTCAATGTTGAAGATTTCTTTAAAATGAATACAATAATGCATATTTTTTGGTGGGTTGCTGTAAAAAATGTTGTAACTGAGGTTAATCAATTTGCATATAGAAGATACAATTAGTTTTACATCAAATTATTAATTTGAAAGATAAAATGTCAAGTTGTCTTTATTAATGATCATGTAGCTAGACTGTGTACAAGTGTGGATTGAGTAGATAAGACGACCTTATCAAGATTATAAGTCTGTAATGTGAGAGTTTGATGTAACACTGTTATAACTTGATGATCTTAAAGGAGAAGTATTATAAGTTAAAACAGTGTTATGATAAACCCTACACCTGTTTTATGAAGATTTACTGACCATCTTTGTGCTTACAGTGAAATATATAACATTAATATTTTGGATAAATTTAACATTGTCTTGCATTATATATTACCTACAAAATGTTTTAACTTTAATTGTAACAAAGTCAGTAAATCATTACTAAACAGAACTGATGGCTGTTATCCCAGAATGATTTTATAAAACTCTCAATGCTCTGAAATTAAAATCTGTTTCTGTATCATAAAGTTTACTGTAATTTCCTCTTACACCATCTATGTTAAATATCTAAATGGACTCGTCCATCTTTCAGGCTGAACTAATTCATCATTTTTAGGGAAAATTTCAAAATAAATACTGACTGAATAGCCAACAGTGCAGCCATGATCAGATGGCACATCCCCTGTCTGATCTCGTTGTACACTGGTTGTATTAGTATATAACTCTAGCTGCCAGCAGGCTGAAGGTTAAAGGGAAAGAACTTCTATAACTTTATTATACAGAACAATGTAATTTGAGAGTTTTGTATGTGCAAACTTGTTTGTTAGACTTTATAGCTAAAACATATGATTAATTTATATAATAAGCTTTGTAACTGCCATATTTATTAATGTGTTTGTTCTTAGTTTTTTTTAATGCAGACAAAGACTGTACTTCCATATATTCTAATGATTTATATGCTGAAACTTCCAATGCTTGATTGGACTTGATTGATAAATCATTTTAAACTAACTCTGGATTGCATTAACTAAAATGGTCATATAAAATGTCTCAATTATAGGCTTTCTAGAAGGGCATGCTGTGGGCATCAAACATGAATTTTGGCTTATATGTACACACTTCCTTTAATTTTACGAATTTGGTTACTACAGGGTCTGCATGGTTCAAACACTTTTTATCTCTGAATATGATTGATATGTTAATTATGACCAGTGGTACAATAGAAATGAGTCTTTGACTGTATCTTGTTATTAACTAATATAGATAGTCATGAATGAGTGATTAACATCAAATGCTATAACTAACTTCAAATTTAACAACACCTAAGCGTAAACAAATGAAAATTCATGCAACAAAATGTAAATTCAGATAATGTAGGGAAAATGTAAATTGATTACATGTATTGTGGTTTGCATAATTTGGAGGACAATATATATGAAAGTTGACCTAAATCATAATTGCATGAATGTTCATTGAAAAAGTAGTCAGAAATATTTGATCTACACATTTACTATATAGATGATCACAGTAGGTTGTGTTTTAGTTATCTTCAATATCAGTTAATGTTCTGTCAGGAATCATTGATCTGTTCAATTATTCAAGCAAATGGATTGGTTTTTAAGTTGTAAGTTTAAAAATAGAAAGAAGTTTTAATAAAATAACATGGAAATGAACTGTATATTGTAATAATATCACAGTGTAATTCAATTACATAAGAATGGGAGTTTTATTTCATAGTTTTGAAGAAAGTTGGACACAAAAAAATTACTTTTAAGTTTTGATACAACATAAGGGTCACAAAAATGAATTTTGCACCAGTGTCTGTATAATATAGCAAGTACCTGCCATGGTAATTATTATCTTTTCCAAAAGGTTGAGGTAGGATGATTATCAGTATAAACTAGTCCTACAGATTCATTGCCTTTTTTTTCAAAATTGCAAGAATGACTGTTTTATAATAATATTTTCTTTCTAATAATTTAAGTCTAATTACAAATGATTTTCTCAAGAACATTAATTTACCTTATTTGTTTTGGCTCCAGGCTTTATCTTTGATTTTTTTTTTGTCTAAGTTTTTGTTTTAGAGCGTAATTATAGCTTTCATTATTCCTGGTTTATATCATTATAAGTATCTTCAGTCTTTGTAAAGCTAACAGTCTTGTCTAACTGTCTTAGACTTTTAAATTTCTACATAATATCAGTCTGATATTAGTGCTAAATGAAGTAAAAAAAGATTTATTTCTAAGTCGACTTGAACAAAAAAATTTCAAGGGGTCAAACAAAGCTGTTCTAACTTAATGAACCTGACAATCAAGATATACCAGAACTGTAAAGAACGTTTAATTCAGCACCTGCAACCCTTTCAGAAATATTTTTTTTAACTAGTCAACTATTACATCTTATTTCATATGAATAGTTGTGGGCAGTCTTACAGGTGGAAAAGGCAAAAAATTAGATATCGAAACAGACTGGGAAATTATACTTGATAAGTATGGGAGATTTGTTTTTTTTAAGTTGGTTACTGTTCCATGTTAATTAATGAAATGTTTTCTTTTGTTGTCAATTTTTTTGACATTTGTATTGATTTTTGTACTTTTATCAGAATGAATATTTTGTTAAGTAGTGCATTCTGCATTTTATTCTGAGGTGATGATTTCTTGATTGTATTATTATTGAAAAAAATGCCTTTAAGATTCAGTGAGGAGTTGATTAGTCATGGGTTGGATCTTTGGAGCTCTAGTCTCAGACAGAACTCATACTTTACTACAATGTATTAGGTTATTATAAAACACACACGGAGATAAATTAATGTTGAACATTAACTCCCCCCCCCCCCCCTGGCCACAAAATAATTTAATTAACAGCAGTAGTTCTAATAGGTATGAAAGAACACTGTAATAATGTAGATCAGGCCGTGCTTAGTATAATGATTCTCTCAGGCATGTTCCCGTCTGACATCCTTTGATTTATCAACAAATAGTTCCAAGTTAAAGGCAAGAACCGTCTTTAACACAACTTGAACTTATGCAGAACATATTGTTATAATTTTACCTCAATATATCATATGAATGATAATTATACCCTAGTACAATACAGATGAACAATACAGTAGATTTAGAAGGGTAAAAAAAGTGTTGTTAGTTCAAACAATCAGTTTTCACTGTAAAATAAGTAATGTTCAAACACAAACGTTGTCACAATGAGCAAAATGTTATGTGCACAGAATAACATATGTTGATCATGTCCCATTACATTGTACAGTATTTGAAGCATTGTCTATTTACTTCACAATATAATTTGATTTTTTTGTTGTTTCTTTGTTGTTACTGATTTTCTGTTGCTTGCCTTTTGTCAGTTTTTGTTTTTAAAAGTTTACATGGTTGGTGAATATATAAACTGCCAAAATTTGAAATATTTAGTGTCAAAATTGTATTTTGTTGTTTGTATTGATGTTTGTGTTCTTTAAATTTGTTTGTAAACATTTAGTTTACTTATTGCTGATGCTACAAAGTTTATCTGAACTTTAAGGAACAAATTGCTGTAACTGTCTTATTAGTTAACCATAAGCATATGAAATTAAACACAGATAGAAAACTCTTGTTGTTAGGCAGATTTAAACTTTTAAATTTTAACAGTGCCTGTATTTCCATTCTTCACTCTTTCCTTCCTAGTAGTTTTCTTCTTATCACTTTCTTTTTTTATCAATTATACCAAGGGTTTGTTGGAACATTGCTGTATCTTGTTACAACAGTGTCACTAATTGTACCCTTGTTAACTCAAATCCTGTTGCTGTTTTTGTCCACTATCTAGGGTGTTATTTTGAAATTCACAACATTTTAGTTGACTCTGCTCACTTACACTTATAACAATAGACATAAATGGTCTGTAGTGATTTTTAAGTCATTTCACAAAACCATGATTTGCTTTTTACCTGAATCACACATTGAAAGGCATTTACAAAGACACAATCTTCTCTATATAGATTTAGTCTTCTTTTGCTTGCATTAATTAGCTGAACTAATGCTAGAATTTACAACTGCTAGTTTGAAGCAAGAAAAGCACCTTCTGGAATAAAAGTCAGCCAAACACATGCAGATATGGTCATTAAGACAAGCTGCTAAATGACCTTGACAAGGTTGTTAAGATTTGACCCCTGACCCATCATGTCTGTGCCTGATTTGTCTTGATCTTACAATATATCAGTTATTTTCATATTGACATTTTATCATGGACAATTGACATACACATATTTATTTTCATAAAGTCTTTTTCACTTTTAAGTTATAAAATTATTCATGTCTAGTGATATTCTACAGGTAGGCCTGTATGATATACTTCTGTGTGAATTTTGGTCTATAATAAGGCCTGAATTCACACTCATACAGGTAATACCCTTATGAGTATCATAAATAATGAATCATTTCATTATAAGTTACAGCATTTATATTGTCTTTCATTTCAATAAATCAATTAGTCAGTTTCATGTTTCATAATAAATTTAGTGAAGAAAAAAATTATGATAAAATTTCATGTTTTGTCAGAAATTTACAATCCATCTTAGATCCATACAAAAGTTTAAATTTATCAGCAGAATCACAATACGTGATCTACTACGTATGTGATGGTGTGCTGTAGTTTTCAGAGGACATTATAAAGCCAGAGTTTACTCAGGCATCACTACAATATGTAGTGTTATTAACTGACACAGGTCCTGTGGCTTTTTCATGCTTTCATAGGCATTACAAATACATTTTTTTGGCTTTTAGGAAAGTTAATCGCTTCATTATACAATACTATGCAAAAATTGATAGTTTTCAGTCATCATAGTAAAAAATAGTCATCATGCTTTATTGATCAAGATAGATGGCATGGCAAGATAGATGGCATGGCAACTTAAGTTGTAACCTGTAGAAAACTAATAGAAACAGACTTATCCCTTGAAAAAAGAAAATGTTAAAAGGGGAGAAGAAGAAAAAAACAGGTTGAAAAAAGGAGCATTTGCATTTTTTTGAATGATTTTTGTATCATGTTATAGCCTTTGAAAGTATAAAATGATATAATTTTTTTTCCCACTTCAAACATTTTCATTCCCCTGGTTTGGTCAAATTAAATCTACATTGGACATTTGAATATGTCATGTCACATGACCCTCCAACTTGTTTATGGAAGGTTGATGATATTCTCAAGGCACAATTACAAATACATGGAGACTAGGGAACCTGGGTGTTTCTCCAATATGAAAGATAGAATGTTGTCATGTGGCTTATAATATGTGACAAAGAGACACAAAACCAAATAAAAAAATGTTTCCTTTATCTTGTTTCCTATAGTCACATATAGTTTATTAACTAGGTATTACAAGTATGAAATAAATGTCATTTAATGAATGACAAAGTTTCAGAATTAATCATCAATTTGTGGATCATTATTTTTGATTGTTTGTGAATTTAACAAAAAGTTTTGTTAGTAATTGCCAAATGCTGTTGTTGATGGGGATGTTATTTCATCATTGATTTTATTCATATGTTATTGTGAAATAAGTTGTTCATTAAAATTTTCAAAAACAATCATTTGGCACTGTCTGTTAGTGTTGTGATACTTATGTTGTTGTTGTTGTTCATGATGATCTGAATATCCTTTCAAAGACTATTGTTATGTTTTATAAAGTGTTGACGCAATGAGAAATTTGTATGTCTATTTGTATTTGTATTTGATAAAATAGACAATTTTGGCCTTCTTCAAATTGCATGAGAGATAAATGTGAAAATTTTGGCTTTCTTCAAAATGCATGAAAGATAAAGGTGAAATTTTGGCTTTCTTCACATTGCATGAAAGATAAATGTGAAAAACTTTGGCTTTCTTCAAATTGCATGAAAGATAAATGTGAAAATTTTGGCTTTCTTCACATTGCATGAAAGATAAATGTGAAAAACTTTGGCTTTCTTCAAATTGCATGAAAGGTGAATGTGAAATTTTGGCTTTCTTCACATTTCATGAAAGATAAATTTTGCTTTGGCATTCAACAATATGAATAAATTTCACCACAAAATGAAATTCAATATTTTTTTTTTTGTATTTCACTTTAATTACAATCTCATGTAAATATTCAAAAAGACAAAACTATATAGAAAGAAAAGTTCAGAAAGTGAGGACAATATTCATTGAAAGGGGGATTGTAAATGTACTAATTCAGTGTATATTTGTACATTTCAGTGTTATCTACAGTGTTGTTAACCTATGTTTACATCTCCTCATTGTATCATTCACTGACATTTCATACATCTTACTTTTTATATCATCAAAATACATTATCTTATGACTCAACATTTATGAAATTAATGTGATATAAATGAACATGAAGTAGACCCTTTCTTCATTATCAGCTTCTATATCTGTGTGATAAGTATCGCAGCCATGCAAAATGCCAAGTTTTTTTTATAAATTATATGAAATTGTTTTAAAAAAATTCACCTTACAACAGGTATTTTTTTCATTGATTTGAAATTTAAAACTTTTGATCTTAAAGATCAAAATATGTTTTTTGGCCAAACAAAATATATATGTCTGTCACAGCCTCAGACTCCCTAATGCTCTCTTTTTCACAACCATTCATTGATCACATTTTGAGGGCATGAATAAATCAATACATCGCAGATAATATATGGCATGTTATCTTATAATAAAAAAAAAGATCCGCAATATTTATTTTCTGCTCAGATGAGGCAATAAACAGACAATATATTTTTCTATTGGTTTTGTATAGTATTCATTTTGTATTGCTTTAACATTCATTAATCATATAACCTTGTCAAACATGATTTGCTGCATTGCTTGTGTCTCTCCTATAAAGCACGCTCCAGATGTTGACAAACATAGAGAATCGACTTGAGGAACTGTTTGAACAGATTGAGACCATGCCACAGGATAAAGTCGAGGCAGCAGAAAAGGTATTTTTAAGTTAATTTACAATAAAACAATTAGACCAATTTGGGAAAATTTAAAAAGTTTATTTTCACTCTAAAGTGGTCAAGATTTAAAGGTACAGTCAACTCCACTTAAAACCAACTCGCTTATAACAAAATATCATTAATAGCCAAATTAATCTGAAATATCTTGCAAATTCCTTCTTCATTTTATATTAAATAATATAACTTACTAGCTTTAAACAAATTTTCAGCTTAAGCAAACTATTTTCAAGTCCCAGGTACTTTCCTAGGTTAAAACATACTGTTATAATTTTATCTACAATGTATATGCATTTCAAAGGATATTATTAGACTATCTTTAGCAGGACTACTATTGTTTATTAAAAATAATTGTCTGTGCAATTTACCTTATTGCTAATGTTTCATATGAATTAACCTGTGAAGGAATTTACTTAAAACTTCCAATGTTTTAGGGATCATAATTGTTGGGCAAAATCCAATTACCCAGAACAATGACATAGATTTTGATAGACTTTAATGTATTCTCCTTTGTGAACTCAGTATATCCTGATCATGGATTTGAATGCAGTTTATAATTCCACTGCTTTGTACCTACATTCTGAAGCTGTTCAGTTGGCTTACAGGTTTGAAAGATCAGTGGTTTTAAGTATATGCCTGTCCTTGTCTGAAATAGCTCTCTCGACTTAGAGGTCTTCCGCCATCAGAGATGCTGAAAAGTCAGAGTATGATCTTAAATATCATAGTGTCATTATATCTAATAAAGTACAATATAGCGACCATCTTGTTATTTGGTTATTAAATAAATGCCACTAATTTTTAACTTTAGGCCTGTAAACACTACATGTTAAAAATTGATGATATCATAGTGTCATTATATCTAATAAAGTACAATATAGCGACCATCTTGTTATTTGGTTATTAAATAAATGCCACTAATTTTTAACTTTAGGCCTGTAAACACTACATGTTAAAAATTGATGATACAAAAGCATTTCATGTAAGAAAGCTTTGTAGCTAAAGTTTATCTTGACTGTCTTTCTTAATTGCAATTTGACCAGGGTGAAAGTATTATTTAGTTATGAATTTATATTAAAAATTTACAATGATATATACTTTCATTTTAATTGTTTTCTTGGTTCTCTTAAAACTGAATGAGTTCTGATGTTGAAAATGTTTGAGAAACACTAAATTATGTGATGTCATGATGCTTATCCATTCCTTACATTATATTGTAAGTGTATTTACCTGGAAAAAAATTATCAAGAAAACTGGTGATTTTTGTTGTCTTCTAGCCTTTTCTCTTTCACTATTGGGTAATGTATTATGACTATCTATATGGATTGTTTTTGCTTTTGTTCAGGCAAAAGAAAAGGAGCGTAGGTTGAAGTTACGTGAGGAGAAGATGGAACAACAGAGATTACACCAGGAAGAGAGAGTCAGGAAGGCCCTGGAGAGAGCGAAGGCCGAACCAAAGAAACAGGTACACCTCATTATTCATCTTGTTTCCACTTGCTAAATCAATTGTCTTGTTATTATACTCCCCGAAATGAGGGCATATCCTCATCTTAATTTCAAATAATTGTTTTACATATATCTATATATACATTGTTAAAAGACCATTTTATTAATAACTTTTAGTATTGCCATTTTAAGAGGTTAATGAAAAGCAAAAGTTTTTTTCTATAAACTGCCAGTTTTGAAAACCATTTTTAAGAGATTTTTTTTTTTACATTTTTGTACAAACTAACGTCAGAAAAAAAAACATGCTTCTTACATCATTTCGTTAAAATGGATATAATAATTATATAAACATTGATTGCTTAAACATTTCCATATGGAACTCTTTTTGTGCCCCGCCTTTTCGAAGAAAAAAGGGGGATATAGAAATAGGCTCCGTCTGTCTGTCCGTCCGTCTGTCCGTCACTCTTTCGTGTCCGGTCCATAACTTTGATATTTATAAAAGGAATTTGAAATAACTTGGCACAAATGTTAAATATAATAAGACGATGTGTCATGCGCAACAACCAGACCCCTACCTCCTGGGTCAAGGTCGCACTTGCTCATTCAAGGTCAACATTGTGTATTTGAGGGTATATGTTGTGTCCGGTCCATAACTTTCTTATCTATGAAGGGATTTTGTAAATACTTGCCATAATTGTTCACAATAATCAGACGATGTGTCATGCACAAAATCCAGTCACCTACCTTCAAGGTCAAGGTCACACTTTGAGGTCAAATATTAACATAGATTGTTACAGAGTATATTTCGTGTCCGGTCCATATTTTTGTCATTTATCAAAGGAATTTGTCATTTATCAAAGGAATTTGAAATAACTTGGCACAAATGTTTGTTATAATAAGAGGATGTGTCATGCGCAAAAACCAGACCCCTACCTCCAGGGTCAAGGTCGCACTTGCTCATTCAAGGTCAACATTGTCTATTTGATGGTATATGTCGTGTCCGGTCCATAACTTTCTTATCTATGAAGGAATTTTGTAAATACCTGCCATAATTGTTCACAATAATCAGACGATGTGTCATGTGCAAAAAACGGTCACGTACCTCCAAGGTCAAGGTCACACTTGGAGGTCAAATACTTACATAGTCTGTTACAGGGTATATTTTGTGTCCGGTCCATAACTTTTTCATAGATCAAAGGATTTTGAAAATACTAAGCAAAAATAGTCACTATAATAAGAGGATGTGTCATGCGCAACACCTGCATCCCTACCTCCAAGGTCAAGGTCACACTTAGAGGTCAAAAATTAACATAGTCTGTTATAGGGTATATTTTGTGTTGGATCTAGAACTTCTTCATAGTTCAAGGGATTTTGAAATAACTTGGCACAAATAGTCACAATGATTAGATGATATGTCAAGTACAACACCTGCACCCCTACCTCCAAGGTCAAGGTCACACTTAAGGTCAAAGCTTAACATGATACATTTTTAAATTCCGTGTTTCATTTTATTTTTTTAACAAATTTATTGTTGCATTTGCAGATCTAGCATTAATCATAATTTTGGACTGAATGTCCTGAGATCCATACCTCAATCTTTTGAAATAGCACAATTTTATGCTTCATATAAAACTTCCCGAGGCGGGGGACGTTGGTTCAACTCTGTTACAAATTCTTGTTTTTTTTTTGATACTTAACACTATTTTGTATAAGTTTTACATGAGAATGGTTTTGACATATTTTACCAATGATTTATTGACAGACTGGCAGAAAACTTGTGTTCCGATCAGAGCCACCACGACACAAGAAGAAGGAGGACGACAGAAATGACCAACAGAGCAAGGAGGAAGAAGAGTTAGCCTACTTCTTTTCTTGGGTGTAACTTTCATCACACACAAATTGTAGCTTTTATTATTCTTATACAATGTCGTGACCAAATAAAGACTATATAACTAAGTTTTATTTATGAAACAAAATAAGAAAATAAATGAATATGAATCAGTGATGTTATTTCTTTGCATTTATTAGTATTGTTTTGTGTAAGGAAAAGTTCTTAAAAAATCTTGTATCATACATAGCGGTTTAACATGAAGAAACATTAAGAGATGTTGCACTAGGGTAAATCAGATAACTTGAATTGTGAAGGTAATAATCTAAATCTATATCAGAAAAAGCCACTTTTAAAATGGTTTTATTTCTTATTTAAACTGACTGATCATCCAGTTGTTGATATAGACAGAATTTAATCCTGAAAAGATCAAGAGGGACAACATATTTAAAACTTACTGCACTCTAACATTGGCAGTAGTATAAAGTTAACTGGAAAAGTCTCTGGAAGTAAAAGTACCGTAATTTCAGGGAAGTCTTTTACAAACATCATTATATATTTCCTCAAATTTTAGTATAGCTCAAGACAAAAATTATTTAATTTCTAATTGGGTGTAACTAAGCACTCTGTAATATCCTTAGAACAAGTGTGATGACTGAGACAACGTGAGAACTGTACAAGAAAATGTCAACTCTTGTTTATTTGTTCAAACAAATTTCCATGATCATTGTTGATAAGTGTACACTAGTGTACATTAGTGTTTTTCTTACAGGTCTAAACTGTAAATTTTAATTTGTAAAACATTTTTTTTTTCAGTTTTAAACAAATCACTTTAGATTCCATAACACTGGTTTTTTATACTTTTATTTTTTATTTCACACATAATAAACTATGTTTTATTGAAAATAAAATCATTAATTGTAATGTTTGATCATCCATTTTTGGTGCTTGTAATACACAAAATACATAGTTAAGAAATAACTTCATTACACATTTTCTCAGAGAAATAACCCATCCAATGTATGTATTTTAAATAAGAAGATTATGTTTTAACATTTGTTACAATATAATGGTAAAATAATATATAATGTATTATCATGGCATTTCACCTATTATAAAACATAATAATTATTGTTATACATGTATACCAAAGTAAAGGATGTGTGAAATAATATAATTAACTATAAGACTTTGTTCAGATAATATATTAAAGATAAGCATAGCATTATTTAGGAGCTTATGGCAACAGTATCTGCATGTTCTAACATTGATATACATGTAGAGAAGTGTAAAAATACTGAAGGATACAAAATTATTTTGTTTTATAGTTGCTTTTGAATTATCTGAATGTGTTTGAATGTATCTTCCGTCCAATGTTATGACTGCCATTTTAGGTTTGTGTATTTTTGTGAAGTTTATTGTTAATGATTTTAAATTATTGTATATACAAGATAACGTGACTATTTTGTAATAATATTTTGAAATTTTTATATTAAAAGATATAGACAAAAAAATATGAAATAAAAATCAGTAAAACAAGTGAATTGTTTTTTGATTTATTTGCAGCATTAATATACATTGGATTCTGACTCAAGTTTTTGTGTAGTAAAAACATGGTTTTCTATAACTCCATTACATTTTAAAGAATTACTTAAATATCTGTTCATTACAATCGACCACATCACGTGATACGGTTCATAACTCTAACACCTTTATTTGTAACAAGAATTTGGCCCAAGACCATTGATGCTCCCAGAACTCACACACACTTGTCAATGTATTTCAATGCATATCAGCCATAAAATGAAGGCATTAAGAGCAAAAACTGTGTACTGTGTAAAAATCTATTTTGAGCACAAGTGATATAGCCTCCAATTTAACCAAAGTTAGGGGGACAATATGAGTATTTAACAACCAAATTTTTAAAGACATCAGTTGATAAATGAAAGCTGCATTTTTTAGTGCAAAAATTTTTTTTACCAGTCACTTAAAACCTTGACTAAAGTGACCACATCCTACACCAACCCAAAAA